TCTATCTATCTTTCTATCTATCAATGCTGGTACAATGTATGTTATACAGTTCAAATGGGGCAACATGTGGTGTAGAAAGAGGAACCTAAAATTCTTGAAGGCTAATGAAGTTGTATAATTGAATTTCTCTTCTACAGCCACATTGATTATTCTTTGACCTGTGTGTGAGACTGTGGACACTTTGATCAAAACAGCAAATGATTTAGTCTTTTGGGCATTCAATTTTTTCTCTGGAAGTCTGAATGAGATACCAACATGAAAACACAACTTTCATTTCAAAATTATGCACACATATTTGTTTTGACCCTGGTAATCAGAAAGAATTTAAAAAAAATTTTTTTGTCTTATTTCTTTACTTTTGACTAAAGATGACATAAATCAGCAAATTTATGAACGTCCGTGTATTAACCCTAATATCTGCCTACTACCTTTTACCTCTATCAATATAATATTTATTTTTTTCTCAGTGTTTCCAGATCTAGTCATAACTGGAGATGTGGTTGTAGCTGGAGTTATTGCTCGATTTAATTTTGTTGTTTTCTCTTATTTTCTCATAGTTAAATCTTAAGTTTTATCGGCTTATATATTTCAACTAGTGAAAGCTAATTGGTATTTAAATGTTTATTACTCCATCTGTTTTTCAACTTAAAATTTTAGAATGTAAAACATTTATCACTAAGAAGGTTGAAAGAAAATTTGTATTCATCTTTGTCAGTCATATTAAAAGGATAAAATTATATAATAGAAAAAAAATATTTTGTTAAGAAGGAAATAACCATTGTTTTTGATTAACTTAGTTGCCTGCAACAACTGGCTATAATAATTTGTTTATTTTACTCAAATGGAAATTCTATTTAGTTGAAAAATAATTTTAATGCTACAAACTGTAAAAATAAATAAATAAAAACAGGTCAACCATTTTTGATTTATTTGTTAGTTCCTTTCTTCTGGTGTTTTAAGATTATAATTTGTCATTATAATTCTGGCAGCCAGAAAGGTTTTAAAACATGATAAGGTTTTTATAAAATAAATAAATAAATAAAAAGTTCCAGAACCGTTTTTCTGGGTTCCATCAATAGAAAGCACCTGCTCGAACAAACGGGTTGCTAAGCTAAAAGCTACTAGCTAACAACGGTTTTGTTTATCACTTAATAACTTCAAACAGAGTAGGTTAAGATAACAACACACACTTCAATGGTTTACATACATATACTACCAGAAGGGAAGCGTGTAAGTGTGTTTTTGTCACATGATACCAAAATAAACTTAGCAGCCTAACTGTAGCCGTTTGACCTTGTGTGCTAAGTGGCTAATGTGCTATGTGTGCTTCACTTCATTATCTAAAATACATTACTGTTGTTTCAATAAGAAGCTACTTTGTTATTTAAAGAATAATATTGCGAAACACACACCTTTAATAAATTTAACTTTAGCTTTTAAGCTTCTGTTAGAAAAATAATAAACTGAAGATTTAGCATTCATCTCAGAGACAGGCTAGTTTTTTGCTAATGCTGGATTTGAGTTGTTCACATAGAAAAAACTATTGAGTAACACAGCTTAAATAGTGTGTAGAGTAATATTGCATCGCTTACACAACGCACCACATCCTTTTACAATTGGGGGTGGGGGGGACCAACTAGAGGAAATAAACAACAGAGACAAGATAACATCACAGTAAGTTTTTCACTTTCAAGTGCAATGACTAAAGTTGAAGACGGGATATTACAGACAAGCCACTCTGTGTAAAACTTTTATTAGAAACATATCCACATTAACAAAAAAAAAGAAAAAATAAACCATGTTATCCCATATAAATCATTTTATAACTGTATACAGTTAAATCACTAAGTTTGAAATCTTAAAAGGAAAAATAAGAACTAGGTGATTTTTAAAATATCTCATTACAAGCTATAGGTATAAATTAAGACATTCATCGAAATGTAACAAAATATTAAATGTTTTATTACCCTTATATGAATGAATGTGATTTTTTAGACTGAATATCAGTGATAGGTTTGGAACCAATTCACAGTATATACATAATGTTTGACATTCATTTATTTCATTCAATTTCTACTATTTTTCTTGTTTAGGTCTAACAATATGGCAAAAGACCAAGTAAAATCCCGGACTGGTCACCAGACCAATGAAAGATCATTTTGGTTAATCCAATTGACTCAATCCCTAATTTAAATACTGTCATTGGTACAATTTTCACTACAGTATGAATGCTTTGTTTGGTCATTAAATTAAAAGAAACTCCCTGAATGGTTCAAAATTCATCCAGGCTTTAATGATTTTAACAGAGTGTAACAGAGAAAAACTAATCCCCAACAACTAAACTGATTTTGTCATTGTATTTCAAAGGTACATGAATGGTAGGAGATGGGTTAATTCTTGGAGCAGGAGAGTTGTGACACCGACTGAAACAACTGCCTTTTCTCCTCCAGTTTCTCCTCAAGGCACTGGATGATAATGGGGTCCACCTTAGTATCAAACTTGTTAGCGAACCAGTGACCATAGTTGAGCAGCCAGTTCAGTTCTGCTGCTCCAAAAATGCAAACACCTCGCATGTGTGACCCCGTGCAGGGTGGGTAGAAGTGTTTTTCCAGGTATTTCCACTTTACCAACCTGGTCTTACTCATCAGGTCAGTGATATCAGGGTGGGACCTTGGCACCTCTCCAGGAACACCTGGCAGCCGCACAAGTGTGGCCCAAAAGTGCTCATCTGGGGAGTAGGTGTCCTCAGACCAGGCTAAAAAATCTTTCACCACAGGTGATGAGTTTAAGTGCTCAATGAATTCCCTCGACAAGACAAAATATGCATTTCCAGAGTACATCTTGATATCATGAGGCGGTGGATCCTTTTTCTGTTCTGTTTTTATTGGCAGTTTTTTATATTCATAGTTGACATCCTTCAGCTCGTAGTGAAACGTGAACCTCCCTGACTTATACTTCGTAGGTTGGCTCGTCTCCAGCATATTCTCACCCTTCAAATTCTTTAGTTCGGCCACCAGCTCGATATTGGACTTGAGGGGAAAATCTTGGCCACAAAGATTGATGACATATCTCCACTTGACGTCTGCCTCCAAAAGGTCAGACAAACAGTTGAGGTCAGCTTTTAAACGAGAGATGCTCGCATAGTATACAGACTCCTGTTTGGATGCGATGAAGACATTGGGCAAGCAGTTTACAAGGCCTTCAATAGCTGAAATGAACGGCACTGAAGATTTCTGATCATAGTGAATGCAATAGATGTTATTTGGTGAGTACAGTGCTTTGATGAGTCTCTCTACCATCCATGCAGATTTATGCACAACTAAAGAATAAGCAATTGGAAAGTCCCTCTCCTCCTCTGAGACACACACTTTGTCATATCCTCTGGACTTGAGGAACGAAGGACAGTTGGAGGTAAGATTAATAAGACTTTCATCCACGTCCTCTACAATGTGCTTTCGGCGAATTATCAAAGTTTTCCCCAACTCTACTGGGTCCGTGTCATACACAGCAGAGCAGCTGATGTTGTACTTGTAAATTGTCTGAACTGGAGTATGATCTTTTACAGGAGTAGGAAGAGGCTCAGGGATGGGTTGGTACCTCAATGTGACCAATACGAGGATCCAGAGGGTCAGCACTAGCAGGCTTGAAGATATGAACTTCCTTCCTGTGAATCTCAAACATCTTCGCTTCTTTCTGTAAGTATTAAAACATGGCAAATTAATAAAAGAACGTATTAAAACATGGCAAATTAATAAAAGTTGTACACAGATAAAACTTGTACACAGATAGCTTTTCAACTAAAGGGGAATGACAAAATTAATTTTCTTGGCATTGATTCACACAAGATTAGTCAGATTTAAAAAGAAAATAAAGAAGACAGTTGTATCTTAGAGAGACACAGATATTAATGATCTTACAGTAACTCTGTAGTAAACCCACACAATGAGGAGACTGGGGTGAAATCTACTATAATAAAACCATGGGAGGAAACTTGTTCATAGTTTTGACTGGTCCAGTTTACCAGCTTCCATGTTTGTAGAAAATCATTACTTTATACCTTTACACTGCATTTCAACACCCCAACAAGTTACCAGTTAACCTCCTAATAAGGACACTCCCCGAACCTCATTAGTCACAGCGACACAATTTAATATTGCTAAATGTTTTTCTTTAAAAAGTACACTTACGTTTGACAGTGAAAACAAATGTAATCTCAGTATTGCCTCTTTGAAATTGTTTTTAAAAAAATCACATTTGAACTTGGTTTTGCATTTTGAGAGGAATCTACTAAGTTTTATATGGCAAAATTGTTGGTTTTGTTCTTTATTCTAAGGTGACTGTTGACAAAATTGCCAAAACAACCAACGCAGAGGGGAAGAAATCAAATTAAAATGTTCAGGACTGGGGTTGCATTGTGCCATTATTTTCTATGTAAATTCACAAATGTTCCACAGTGCTTGGAATTTATTCTTTATTAAAAAATGATTATGTTTCTATTATCTTTTCCTGTTTAGGGCAATTTACACGGGCAGTTGTGGTTTAGTGGTTAAAGAAGCAGACTTGTGTCCGGAACGTTTCAGGTTTGAGTCCACAAGCTGCCACATTGAACTTAAACTGGCAAATGTTGGTTAGCTTAAGAAATAGAGCTAAATGTCAAAAATAAGCAAAATTCTCCTTTAACAATGATTTTGTAACACAGTAGTCATAATTGAACTTTAATGTGTTTTTAGTATAAGACACTACATACAGATTAGTGCTTATGCTTTACTAACACTTAGTACAAAACGGTTTACACTGTACAGTGTGAAAATGAACACTTGGGCTGTTCGGTTGTTAGACTAACACTACAATGTGGATAAAATATTAACACTTTGCAAAGTGTTAATTTATCTCAGAACCAGTGAGCTTTAGATGAACACTGGAATAGTGTTGTTGAAAATCAAACATCTTTAAACAGACTTACCCTCGATCCATTAGCTGGCGCTGATTTCCAACTTTTTCATCAAGTCCAACTGTGATGGTAAAGAAATAACTTAACGCAGCGTGTACATGATGTAAAACAACCCCCTGAGAGAACGAGCAACTTACCAAATGGCGTTAGAAACAAACAGTGGACATATATTTTCCGTGGCATTTAACTTTCAGACATTTAAAATGCGACGCGCGTCGCCAAAATCCCAGCTTCAAATCACATTTCTGTTTAGATTCCCAAAGTTTCGCAGGTGACATGTGAAAACCATGACCTGGATCTCAAGAAGTGACTTCTGTCAGAGAGCAGTCAAAGAATGAACCTGGAAAGAAGGGGAGGGGCACATGACACAATCCATCTACCCTGATGTGACACTCACAGTTGTTTAAAACGAAGTGACTGGTTTTACAAGGCATTCCGAAACGGGTTCGGTCGAGTCACCTTAAAACAAGTTTATAACAATATTGTGAATGTGTGAAAAAATGTTCGAATAACTTTGCTGATCTGCGCTCAAGTAAACAAGAGTGAAACCGAACAGATGTTGGTGGATGAATCAAACGTACAGGTACAGTGCTGTCGAACGGGAGGGGCAGTTAACAAAGACTTGTTGGTTTCCTCCACCAGTAGAGCAACATTCTTCATAAGACAAACCAGATCTGCCAGGCTGAGGAATCGAGTCATACATACAGCCGTAAATGTGTGTATGGAAATGGTCCGAAATATAGAAAAAAAACAAACAACAACTTTGATTTAGCATGAACAGCCTTACTCCGTGACTTCACTGTAGTGTGTGCTGTCAGTGGACAGAAATGACAATGCATTCACTTTAGAACACAAAATGAGTCCACGATTATTTCTTTAAGTAAAGAGCTAAAATTCTATTATAGTTATTACGAACTTCACCAAGTTTGACACCAAGAAGAAACTTACAAATCTGAATTCAAATTTGTGATGTCAATCACCCTAAAAGAAACAAAACCACCACAACAAAAATCATAAAATCTTATTCTTATTCTCTTCTTAAAGTATACATTTTAATGCCCGCATAGAATACAATTGTTGTCCTATTGTATTGTACTGGTTTTCGGGATCAGCGGCAGAACGCAAACATCTGATCAGAAATTTTGTAAATTAATAACTTCAAAGGTAACCCTTACGTTAAAACGGGTGTTAAAATGTGCTTTTTGGTCTAACGTCCTAATTTAATATTTTCATGAGCTTTACTTGAAAGTCCGCAATAAAAATCCTTTAAATAACACAATCATTAGCTTTAAGAGTAAAAGAGCATATTTGGGGGCTTTTATTGTCAATGTCCCTTCAACGCTTCCGCCACGCCACTGTAAATTACGTAAGACGTAAATGGTGACGTCATCACGTCGACGTTAGGGTTTCTGTTTCGCCATGTTGGTTTCATAATTTACAGGGAGGATTAGCTAGTCAGCTAAGAAATAGTGAAGAAGGGCAATAAAATGATAAAGGAAATGGTTTGAAATCAGCGACGGTTATCATTGTAGGTGGGTAAAACTAATATGTTGTGTTTTTATAAGTTTTGTTTTTGCTGGGAGCCGAACTGACCTTGGCAAAGACCGGTGTAGGTTAGTCCGGGTGTGCCGCTTTAACTTGCTGTCAACGATAAGACGCTAAGGCTAAACCAGTTATAACGTTAATAAAGATAACTTATGCATTCGCGTCCCTTTTTACCTCAAAACAAATACATGTTTAACACTAAACGAATGGCGCCTCAACTATCAGCGGTTTTAGTTTTTTTATTTAGCAAGTTTTCAACAAAAGACCGTCAACAGTCCAATGACAAAAAAAGATGACGATGTTTATCTCTCCCTCTCCTCTGGTAAGGTTGACCGTTTTGGGGACACGAAGCGAACATGTTGGCACGTCTATTCAGGCTCCATGGGCTGCTGGTGGCCTCCCACCCATGGGAGGTGATAGTGGGCACCCTTGCTCTCACTGTCTGTCTCATGTCCATGAGCAACCTGGCAACTAGCAGCCAGATGTGCACCTGGAATGAGTGTCCCAAAGTCGAGGAGGTGAGTCTGGTTCATCTAAGGCCGGCTTGTGTGTGGCAGGTAGTTGTCTCACAAAATTAGGTTAATATTACTGTCAGTACCAAACTGACTCTTTTCTTTACTGGTGTTCTTGCAGAAAACACAGAACAGTGACATAATCATCTTAACCATCACTCGCTGTATGGCCATTGTTTACATCTATTTCCAGTTCAAGAATCTCAGACAGCTGGGATCCAAATATATTCTGGGTCAGTATACTAGGATTGTGCACAGTGACGATTCACATTGTTGTTACTTTCTTTTTAATCACTTGTTACTTTAAAATTGCAGAAATAAATTATTAAAAATGTCTAATATATTTTTCCCCATTATTCTCCATAGGTATTACAGGTTTATTTACAGTATTTTCCAGCTTTGTTTTCAGTACAGTTGTCATCCACTTTTTTGGGAAGGAACTGACCGGCCTTAAGTGAGTGTTGTTCTGACATGTAAATGTGCTGCTTTATAACTGAACTGTTTCAGTCCTAATGTCTAATGATTATTTTTATGTGTTTGTAGTTGGTGTTGGTGGTATTTGGAGATGATATATGTTTATTTCTTAATATAATTAAGCTTCACCTTTAGCACATATTCAGAAATCAGTTCCTAGACTATATTCAGACAAGATGTTTCTCAGTGGTAGATTATGACAAAAAACAATTGTCATTGCCACTAATTCTACACTGTGTTATTCACTTGTCAATTATCCCTGTCCATTCTAATGTCATGGTAAATTATTTTATCTGGCAGATATTATGAGTTATATTTCCAGTGCAACAGTAGAACCTGATCCAAGTCACATTGGTACACTGGAAAAAATGCATTTAGGTGAATATATTAAAAAAAAGGTGTAGACAATGAGTATCTGACAATTGTATCTGCAGTATTCCATGGCATACACTTGTAGTAACATATTTGAGCGGATGTTATTAGACCACCTAAAAAATGTTGTTTGCGTGATCAGACCAGGTTGTACCCTGAGCACATTTCTACCTTACTCTAAAGCTGATTGTCTCTGATTGCAATATCTTTTTGGATTTTAATATTAAGTCTATGCGTATGTCATTTCATTATATATCATTAAATAAAATAGAAATCCTATTTTTGACTTCCTATTCTGAAATGACTACTCTGTATGTGCTTTTTTTGTATTATCATTGTATGGACTACAGTGAAGCGCTGCCGTTCTTCCTTCTGCTCATCGATCTGTCCAAAGCATGTGCGTTAGCCAAGTTTGCCCTAAGTTCGAACTCACAGGTAATGAAGTGTACCTTTCATTTGAATATGCATTAATGAGGAACTGTCCAAGTGTCACTAACTAGTGATTCTTGTGTCTTGAATATAGGAGGAAGTGCGAGAGAATATTTCCAAGGGCATGTCTATCCTGGGGCCTACCTTCACCCTTGATGCTCTGGTGGAATGTCTGGTCATTGGGATTGGCACAATGTCAGGTAAGGAATGCTAGTATTTATTTTTCTCTTACACAGTGAAAAATCTCACAGTGGTGATCGTCTGGTCAGTGGAGTGTATATTAACCACAGTGGGGTTTTTTTCAGGTGTGCCACAATTAGAGATCATGTGTTGCTTTGGCTGTATGTCTGTTCTGGCCAACTACGTTGTCTTCATGACCTTCTTCCCAGCATGTGTCTCTTTGGTACTTGAGGTAAGATATTTGACAATAAAGTTGACTTTGACTTTGAAGAATAATACATAAAATACTACATGCTTCTTGGAAAATAATGATCAGTATTTGTTTTATTAATATATATTATATATAAATATAATATATATAAGCTCAAACAATTACAACACAATCAGACACAGGTTTAATTTGACTCAATTCAACCCCCCACATGAACAACAGAAAGTGAATGCTGTCACCAAAACACACTCATTTTTTTTTCTTTAAGTTATCAAATTTGACAGTTACTACAACCCTATTTCTATCTTTGTAGCTGTCCAGGGAAAGTCGCGAGGGTCGTCCAGTCTGGCAGCTGAGCCATTTTGCTCGTGTGCTGGCTGAAGAAGAGGACAACAAACCAAACCCTGTGACCCAGAGGGTAAAAATCATCATGGTGAGTGGCTATCCAGAGAAAACCTTGTAATTTTGTATACTTCATACTCAGGCTAACGAAAAAAATATAAAGGATAAAAACCTGCTATTTATAAACGACCTGCCATGTGTCTTTATTTCTTCAGTCTCTGGGTCTAGCCCTGGTTCATGCTCACACTCGACTTGCAGCGGAAAATCCAGGTCATAATCGAACAATTGAGGGGCCAATTGCAAAGAGGCTGGAATCTGAGGGGAACACATGGCCTCTGAAACTTAGCAGGTAAAACATAAACAAAGGAAAGCATATACATGTTGTTTTTAGCTTGATGCCGATGTGTACTTTTTGTGTACTTTGTGTACCACCTCCTGTATGTCACGTCCATCTGGCCGTAAAGAAACACGCTCATTTTTCCTGCTTCTGACTACCCCCAGAACCACTCAACCTACTGTCTCTTCTTCTTTTGCTAGTGTGGAGCAGGTGATAACCCTCAGCCTCGCCCTGCTCCTGGCCGTCAAGTATGTCTTCTTTGAGCAAACAGAGACGGAGTCTTCCCTGTCTCTCAAGAGTCCCATAATCACCTCCCCTCCAAATCAGAAACCCTGGGGAGTTGAAGACTGCTGCAGGAGGGACCACCCTGCACAGAAACCCCAGAAGACCACGAGTGTTAGCTCAGCAAACAACATGACAACTTCATCTGCCTCAGATTCCAAAGCTTCGCCTGAGTCCAAGACATTGACCAAAGACAAAGGTAAGACCCATAATTGTCCTCAATTGCTCTGACTATTAACGACTTGTTACGCGTGTGTGTTTTATAATTTGCTGGTTTCACATCAATAGATGTGTCAACGTTTGTCCTACTAATTACACATAAACGTACGTTTAGCACATTACGTAACATAAACCTGTGTTCTAGAACTCTTTTTCAGTTGACCTCATTTTGAGGGAGTGTCTGTGAAGGTGTGTTATATGAACACAATTAAATAATTTGAAAGGATCAACATTAAATTCAACTGAAAACGTTTCCACCCACTATAAGTGGGTGTGGAAGGTAATGTTGAGTGGGAGAGTCATCTTTTGTGTTTAACCTATATTTTGGATTGGACCGTCACTTTACTGGGTGTGTCCCTCCATTAAAAAAATTCGCCTGGTGTTTTTTTTTTTTTTTTACTTTTCACTATTCAACTGTACTGATTCATTATCACATGACTGACATCATCCAAGACCAGTGCAGCAGGGTGTCATTTTTAAAAGCGTTTCCACTCCTGTTCAACACAATAAAAATAATATTTACTTCCTCTTCTGGTCTGAAACCCAATCAGTGATGACTTAGGTCCTGAGGGGTGTTATGTAGATCTTTCCTTCACTGATGTAAATCCTCTGTTGCTCAGCTCGACCTTTGTCTCTTGTCTCTGATTTACAGAAGTAACTGCAACTCCAGAAGTCACCACTGAAAACAGGTCATTCTATGTCGGAGACTCTGTGTCTCCGACGCCTTCTGTCCCTGTGAGCGACTCCAGTTCAGAGTGTCGGACGATAGAGGAGTGTATGTCCATCCTCTTGGATCCACAGGCAAGTTCCCACGCACTTAAAACTCCTCCATAAATTAAATCAAAATAATTTTCTTTTCTTTATATCTTAAAATAATCATAGCCTCTTTTTTAATGCTTTCCAGAGAGGCGCCCGCTTTCTCAGCAATGCAGAGGTGGTAAAACTGGTGACCTTAGGCACTATTCCCTCCTATAAACTGGAGACGGTTCTTGACAATCCAGAGAAGGGAGTGTCTATCAGGAGGGAGATGTTGTCACACAAACTGCCTGAGTCCTCGGCTCTGGTTCATCTGCCGTACAAGGACTACGACTATTCTAAGGTTTTGAAAAGAGCAGTTTTTTTTGTGTGTCCAGTTTCTTTGTGTGTGTGGCAGGTTTATTCAGTCTGTGTTTATGTTCTTGGCCTGTAGGTGCTGGGTACTTGCTGTGAGAATGTCATCGGGTACATGCCAGTGCCAGTAGGAGTGGCTGGTCCTCTACTGTTGGATGGGAAGCAGTTTCACGTTCCCATGGCGACCACAGAGGGCTGCCTGGTCGCCAGCACAAACAGAGGATGCAGGGCCATTTTTGTAAGTGCAGAAGATTTTAGCATCAGCTGTGGCTCAAAGTGTGTGCTTGTTTTATGCTGACTCTTGTCCCAATCCCCGTTCAGCTGAGTGGGGGTTGCAGCAGCAGAATTTTGGCTGACGGTATGTCCCGCGGTCCCGTGGTGAGGCTGCCGTCAGCGTGCCGGGCTGCAGAGGTCAAAATCTGGCTGGAGACCCCGGAGGGATTTGGTGTGATCAAAGGTGTCTTTGACAACACCAGCAGGTCAGAGGGAAACACTGGAGCTGAGTGAAAACAATATCCAAATGGAATGATTCTTGCAGTAAATGTACATGCAGTATTTCTTATACTTTTTCTCATGTTAGGTTCGCACGTCTGGAGAAGCTGCTGACCAGTATAGCTGGGAGGAATCTGTACATTCGCTTGCAGGCTCAGACTGGTGATGCCATGGGCATGAACATGATCTCAAAGGTATGAACCAGAAGACCAACCAACAGATAAAAAGCAGTTACATTCTGTCTTAGTTTATAATATATGAAATGTATAATATATGATGATGTTTAAATGCAGTGTTGAGTTTGTCTTTTCTTTGCTAGTTTGTTCCTATTTTTTATTAAGATGATTGCCTGCTGCTGTTGTCTTCTCCCAGGGCACTGAACAAGCTCTGCACCGACTCCAGCAACTGTTTCCAGACATGGAGCTGCTGTCGGTCAGTGGAAACTTCTGCACTGACAAAAAATCTGCTGCCATTAACTGGATCCTGGGCCGTGGTAAGACCGCAGTCTGTGAAGCTACCATCTCTGGCAAAGTAGTCAACGAGGTAAGTGCAGAAATAAATCAGAATTAGTTTACATTTTCCCATTACACTCGATGAGAACAGTAGTTTTGGCAACAACAGTTTATATTATTTGCATGTTTTTGCAGCTGCTGAAGAGCACTACGGCAGCTCTGGTGGAGCTGAACATCAATAAGAACCTGGTGGGCTCGGCCATGGCCGGCAGTATAGGAGGCTTTAATGCTCAGGCGGCCAACATCGTAGCAGCCGTATACATCGCCTGTGGGCAGGTAGTTACTACACACTTTTTAAAAAATATTTTCAAATACAATCAGTGAGCAGCTCCACAGAAGAAAAAAGAATTAAGAATGCAACAGAGTATTTTGTGTGTGTGTTATTTCAGGATCCCGCTCAGACGGTGGGGAGCTCCAACTGCATCACTCAGATGGAGCACACTGGCCCTGATGGGAAGGACCTCTACATCAGCTGCACCATGCCGTCCATAGAACTGGGTACAGTTGGGGGAGGAACCAACCTGCCACCACAGCAGGCCTGTCTGCAGGTAAGGTTTAGTGGACACACGTCAAAATGTTATAGTGCTTTTTTTTTTTAAGATTTACATTAGAAACAAACTTAAAATCACATTATCAGTTGAACTTCAGGAATGTTTTAAGGAAAATAAATTGCACTCATTATTCCTACAGCATTATGCTAAACATGATCAGAGACTCTGGAGTGGGTGTACAGCACACGTGTTGTCACAGTAGTTTGTGGCTGTGGGAGTTCAGTGTGATCTGTAGATGGTCCTGTTGACTTTAGAATAGTCTTTCTGATCTCTAACCTTCTCACACCTCCGTTCACCAACTACTACAACCTTTTCTGTTTCCATCTCCAGATGCTCGGTGTCCAAGGCAGCAGTCCAGAGCAGCCGGGCGAGAACGCCCGTCAGCTGGCCCGGGTCGTTTGTGCCACCGTCCTGGCAGGAGAGCTCTCCCTGTTGGCCGCTCTAGCCTCTGGACATCTAGTCAAGAGTCACATGACCCACAACAGGTCTGATATTTATCTGTAACTTTCTGTTTTTAAAGCCCACAGATTTTTATCTGGTGTTGATTCTAAACTGATTCTATGTTTTTTCCTCATGGTTTTAGATCTAAAACAAATGTGTGTGAATCAACACCGTGACCGTCGGAAACGGCAGTGAGCGGTGTCTTGGATCTGCGTGGTACAGGACACCAGCACAGGACATTACTGTGAGCATCAGCTGGTTCCCCTGATGATGTGCTGCAGATGGAGGTGCTCCAGGTGTTAACCTGTGGAGGAGGAGCGACCAGACAGGATGTATCAACTACATTGTTTGCAAATGACTTTTTTTTATTTATTTTGTGCCACTGCGTCTTCATCTTGAGGTTGCACTAGGGTAGAAGGAAGTATTTAGACTGCAGTAAACCACGTCAGCTGGGGCAGTGGGCTCTACCAGACCCTCACTGCTGCAGCCCTGGTTGAAATGTAGAAACTATGAAATGTCTCTCAGTCCGTGTAAGAGGAACAGAAAACTAAAATTCAAACTGTCTTCCTGACTGAGTGCTATTAGCACTTAGAGTTCAGGACTCTGGTGAGTCGGCAAGTTCTTTTGAAGTTATAACATCAGTCTTAGAACTTCTGACCTTTTGACCTCCTACAAGTCTGGACAGTTTCTTGGCTCTACACCTCAGTTCTCCATTATTGGAGGTCTAACCAACCCTCCACTTTCTCATTAGTAAGTTATTAATTAAAAACCTAAGGTATTGAGGACTCATTAACAAAAAAGCTTGATGTATTTGCCGAAATACATCAATTTTTTAGCCAATTTTTTTTAATTGGCTAAAATCATGTGTCAGACGACAATCGTCTGAATGTTACTGTGTCAGTGATCTGTTTTAACCACTGTTACGTTCTACACCTGGTAGTTGCACTTTCCTCTGATCACTGCTTCAGCCTCTCAGTAAATACACATGATGATACAAAAAACAGCAGTTTGATACAGCTCCAAAGCTGATTATATATTTATTGTGTTTTAAGTGTTAAATCATGTTAATACAAGTGAACATGAACAAAGGACCTTGGTGAATTTTAGAGATGACGTGACAGCACAAAAATATTGAGCTGGTGCTGCCACCATCTGGCTGGGACGACAGAAACGGAGGTTAAATCAGGAAGCAATTAGTGTGTATATCCTTCTCTGCCCTGTTGGTGGTGCTAAAGCGATTTCCATGCCTCAGATTATGAGTTGAACAGTTGGTACAGCAATGTTTTATTAGGATCTGATCCTGTAGAGGCCACACAATGAAACAGCGGTTGGTGATCTTGTCTTACAGCAAGAAGGGTCACCAACTGATGGTGTTGTTTTTCTCCAGTTTAATCTGAGCTGAAGTGGAGCTACAGTAATACAAGTTTGACCATGTTACAGCAAAATGTGACAACCCCATTCTGGTGTCGTCATTTTTAACATTTGGTTATGGCTATAGCTGCAGTGGTGACCACAGGTTTTTAATATTTAATTTTGCACTAAAGCTGCAATGTTAAGGTGCTGCTGTTTACTGATGAAGTGGAGACCTTGTGGTTCTCCTGCCAGCAGAGGGCGTCCTGGGGAAACTCAGACTGTTTTGTCTGTGTTTGTTCTCTAAAAGCAAGAGAACTAAAGCCATATTACTTAATTTATTCAACGCTGAGATAAACTGGTAAGGTAATGTGTGCAATTTTAGATTTTATTTATGTGGTGTGAAATGGAGCCAGGTTTAAAGCAAAGCAGCTCAGAAGTGGCCTTACAGTGAAGCCGACGTTAGCGTGTCATAGTTAGAATAATCAATTCTGTAAATGATGAACTTGTTTCGTTCAAAGCCTGTAAATTGTTTAAATTAAGACATAAAGAAGTATTTGTTTCTGTTAATGATATCTTGCTGGTGTGTGTGTGCGTGATTGTAACAAAAGCAAACACGGATGAGAAACATTTGGAGGATAAACATCTTTAATTCCATTATAAAACACGGCACATGTCTGAGTGTCATGTGACCTCTGCGTGTCTCAGCCACACCTGCAGGCTGTCGGCTGTTTAATTTGAAGACATGACAAAAGTGATTTTTGAGAAAAGGGGAAAACATTTTTATTCGCACTTTTGAACAGAATGTATCAAGATGAGCCAATTATTGGCTAACATTCAAGTTTATTGACGGTAAAAAAAGGGAATGGATGTGGCCATGCAAGTGAACTCTCTTGGAGTTTTCTCCTGATTTCAGAGTAACCTTTAATGCATGGGCAGCATGATGTACAGTGTGTATCAAATAATCCTACCATCCATCCACTCATTGTTGCTCTAATACACAGTCAATACACGTTGTCATTTTCACACCATGCAATAAAAACGTTCGTTTAACTGAAGCACCAGAATCTTAAAATAGTCTTAACTCCCAGCGATTGAACATGTTTGTTCATGATTAATCATTATTAATTACCATTATCATGATTAGAATTAGGATTGATCAGCTACCGGTAATTAATCAATCAATTTTAGATCATTTATCAGTCATAAAATGACTGTGCACCTAATTCAGTCAGTTCTCGATACGAAAATTCTATAGAAATGAATAGAACAAGAGCAACTGAATAACGTGTGGAGGATACGTGTCAACAGCTCAACCAATCAGGTGAAGCAATTCTGCCCTTCTGCAACATATGATTTGTTACTTCTGAAACCAGGAGTCTATGTCCATTTCTTACCGTCTTTGCTCTCATTTTAATGTAACAATTATTTTACAAACATTTTGACTTGAAATATGAAATAAAAATATTTTTCCCCTTTTGGCAGAATCTACTATATTAGAAAATAACCATTATGGGCAAAAGGAAGAAAAAACCCATCATGTCTGAAGCTACATTTTCACAAAACACAGAAAGTTCACAGACAGAGAAATGTTACTGACACCAGGTGAAGTCATATGACACTGAAAACAGCTGAAGTAACTATCATACACAGATGTGTGTGTGTGTGAATGTGAAATGTTTTTGGACGTGTCCCTCCATCAGCACCAACAGAAGGTTGTTTTCATTAGAGGGACGTGGTCACAGAGGTCAAGTCGTTCCTGGGGGTCACAAAAAAGTGAGGCCCGTTGGACTTAAAAATGCGTCAGTCGATCACCTTACATTAACTGCTCACGTCACAGCTCACACACAAAATGCTGTGAAATGACTAAGAAAATAAAGATAAATAAGCTTTAATAATTTTACTTCTCTGTTTTTACAAAGCTCTTACATACACTGACATATTCTATCATACACAGAATCGTCGTCGTCATCGTCATCATCATCATCATCATCATCATCATCTTAGGTCACTTCTAGTTTTGACTCTGACGGATCACCTGTGCTGCACCAGGGACTTGTGGGTAACAAATGGAACCTGCTCACTGTCTGAGCAGGTTCCATTTGTTATAATGAATCAGAATTGAATTCAGTTTGCCGTCAATTAAAGCAGAATAAAAGGATAGTGCAAATTAGTTTTGAAATGAGGAATTTCTTAAATTAGCCCTTAGAGGGAGCCATTACCACACATCCCCGACTTCTGAACATGTCATGATTACACATGCCCAGTGTTCCTGCAGCAGAGCAGGTGATGGAGGTGACAGGACAGGAGGTCATCAGAGGTCATCAGAGCTTCACAGTGAGTCACCTCCAAGTCCACACTTGAAGTGGAAAGAAAAAAACAATAAAATAGGAATGTTGTACATTGTCTTAGCCATGCACAAGAGACAAACTGTCAGTGCTGTTACCTGGGGTCCTCAGAATAAGATGGGTTTGACAGCAGTTTTCTCCTGCACATAGGAAGTGAAGCGTTTGAGGAACTTGGGATATTCTCTCTTGGCCACGGCCCTGAGCACAGAGGCGGGAGCCCAGCCTCCTGGATTAACTGCATACACGCACACGCGCACAAAGATGTGAAAACAGAAGTAACAGGAATCAAAAATAACTTTTGACATCAACAGTCCAGTGAATAAGTGAAAAATATATACAGCATTTATACACGTCATCTCCAACAACCATCTGCTGTTGTTTGACTTGATTAAAAGTACAACAGTGTAGTAGTAGTGTGGTGTAAATGTGTAGGATAGTCACCAACATGGTTTTACAGAAGACAACGATTTAAGGCTAAAATGTGTATTAAAGAATGGCTGGAAGTAGCAACAAGAATGGCTTTGTAAAAAAAAGAAAAAAAAAACATATGACATAGATTCCAATAATTAATAACGATAAAAAATACAAGGAAAAAGTCCAAACTTTGCTACTTTAAAATTAAAACCCTCAGCTAGAACAACATTGTATTTAAACGCCGTATCTTATTTGGTTTATTTCCTCACCGTTGGCCACGTAGGTTATTTTACACAGTATGTTGTCCCTGGTGATCTCTTTGTCTCCCTCTGGTGGACTGACCAGGGTTTGACAGATCATGGCGATGTTAATTTTGGCACGGACACATCTGCTGCTCAGCTGTGGAGCATGAAACAGAATTATAAATGATAGAATATCAATATAAATACATATAAATATAAATTATAAATAGAAATCACAGGTTTGAGTGATAGTATTGACTTGAAGTCTCACCGGTGCATCGTCATGATCGACAGAGAAGTTGCAGACCATCCAGGTGTCGGGGTCGTTCTCGTTGTTGGTTACAATCTTTCTCATGGCGGACAGATACAGCACGTCCCTCTGAGACGCGGGCCACACCCTCTGAGGCAGAGCAGATTTAGCAGAGGTTTAGAAGAGAGTGTACACTGTGTTCTCCACACACCTGTGTTCATCTGTACGGTTCTACCTTGTGTGTTTGATAGATGATGGCTGCGTTTTCTGACAACGTCTCCACGACATTGAAGTTTTCTATAGTTGCTAAAAGAATAGTAGAAAGAACGAGGATTAAATAATGACTTCGACCGCTGACTGAGAGACAGTAAACAGGTGAAAGACTTACTCTCCCAGTCACTACGATAACTGGTGTCCCAAAAGTAATGGCAGACCTCACGACCGGTCACTCCCTTCACAGAGTGTGTGGCCTTCAGGGGGTCCAGAACAATTCCATTCTCCTCCACCTCTCTCCTGTACACCTGCACACGTGTGACAAGTAAAATGGATTATAAAAGCAGAGTCAACGTGCCTATACTATCGCAGTATATCGCAGTATATTGTGTCGTTGCCCATGTATTCTTGCCAACACACACCCCTAATTTTGACTAAGCCAGAACATAAAACCATCCCAAATTTTCCAGCTCCTGAACAAATCCAGAACAGTTTGACGTGTTCTGACAGTCAAACCAGAAGAACAAACACAACACACACACAGCACCGACTCATCTCTGTGTTTACCTTCATTTCTCCCTCTTCTACAACCAACTGCCAGTTGGCATCTCCACCCACATCCTGCAGGGAGTAGGTCCTGTGACTCTGCACCATCTCCTCCACCTGAAACACAGAATCAAGAACCAAAGAGAAGAAGGGAATTGTTATATGGTAAATGTCCAAAAGTAAATATGACACATTCGCAATGTATGAAAAGAAGTAAAAGACGACTACAGACTACGACCTGAAGAAACAGCTTTGCATTTAAAATGGCTTCTAATGATGCAACAAATTCCAATGTAAAGAGTTTACAACATTAAATATAAGACAATAGGGATGTAATGATGGAAAGTGAACCGATTAAAAATGGATACAAATGTGTGACAATTCGTATTGGTTGTTTAATCTAACAGACAAAATCCTCCCTCCCCACTCTGGACATTTTCAGCTTCAGCTTTGACAGTGTAGATGAAGCAGTGAGGATAAATACTTTTGGAGGATAACTTGTTTCCAGAACTTTTTACATGTTTATCTAGTCCTACTAGTGTCAGTGACTCATGTTTCAATAATTTTATCGTGAATATTTCTAAAAAGAAAAATAATTCTATAAATTCTCTCTTCGTCATTCCTTTTCTCTTTGTTTCGCTCCAACCAGTTGTACATATCGATGTACATACGACTTTTTTATCCTATCAAATTTCAGCCATAATGTGTTGCCAGGGGTAAAGAAAATCTGCCTTCAGATTAAATAGTGTGTCGCAGGCGTACAATTAGTTTTGGAGTGATTTGATTGGTTGGTCAAAACGCACATTCTCGAATCTAGCAAACAACTTCTAGAGCTGCTGTGACACGTGAGAACTGTTTGGCGGTAACTGTCACAGTGTCCGCTGCTAATGTCGAGCGGACATTTTTAGCCTAAAGCGAATTAAAAGGTGCCAGAAACTCAACAGAACGGATTCGACTATGAGCAATAGCGTGGATGGAGCTGGAACGGGAACGCATAGATCATCGGTACAACAGCGTCATTCTAAACGGAGGAGAGGAGGGTGGATTTTGCGAAGTTTTGGTGAGTTTTGTCTGACTCGATAATGTAATTGTATTGATATTGTTCATGCTTTTTGGTGTGCAGTATTTCGCAGCTGAGTTGTGCTTCGTTTGTTTATTGCTTTGTGGTTACACGAGTTATCAAGGACGTGTTTTAACTGAATAAAAATAAACGTGAATAAAATCCACCATAGTCCAGCAGGTGCAGCGTGGCAAACACAAAACTACCTTTCCTCATTGTTGTGTAAAGATAAAGTGACTCGACACGCTGGTTGAGCTGACACAGCATGCTGCGTTCAAGGAACCATGGTAAAATTAGGTGCACAGATAAGGGACACTCTTTTCTTAGGTGTTCTGCGGGCAACAGTTTTTACATCGTTCAGGTTTAACAAATACGTTTGTCAGTAAAAATATAGTCATTTGTCTTTTGTGTCTAACTTATTTACACTGTCTTCAGGCAATTCTGTCTTCAATTAAAATTTGAATTTACAATAGAGATCATTTACTGTTTTACCTTTACTTTACTTACACACACTAAAAGGGGGCAAGGGGAGGGAGGGTTGGTTAGAGCTGTGACAGTGAGGTTACCTGTGTGCCATATCTGTGGTCATCATGAGGAAGAGCCCTGACTACGACAGCAGGGGGGGGCTGACTATAAAGAGGCTACAGGGAGGAGCCAGGGGACAAATGAGAACAGGGTGGAAAGAAACAAAAAGTAATGAAAGGTAAATTAAAAAAAATAATAACTTGAACATAAATTGGAAAAATAAATCTGGAAGTGGAATAAATGCAGGAGATGGAGACAGTGTGTGTTGGAAAGATTTTAAACCACCTTGTCGGAGAATCTGTGGGAGTCAGTGTGGGAGTGGACGTCTACCGTAGGAACTGGGCTGGACCTCTGTATCCTTGACTTTTCAGTTTGGCACTAAAAATACATCAAAACAGTTAGTGATGACAGAGGAAATCTTTGACATCAGCCTTTCTCTGATCTATTTGGCCTCAGTCGCTAACATCCTATTACTCTACGGTGTTTGATAGTCTGAAATCTACAGTAAGATCTACCTGTTCCTCCATTTTGTCTTGTCTGTCAAGAGCAGCCTCAACTGCATCGAAGAATTCATCCTCGTTGATGAGGCTGTTAGGACCCTCCTGTAAAGTAACAAAACTTTAACATCAGGGCAGAAGACAGGAGCAGGACTCACTTTCAAATGTCTTCTGTTATGATTTGATTAAATAAAACATCTGACCACACACCTGAGAATGGACTAAAGTCTTTTCTTAATTTAAAACACTGTATGTGTTAAAAGAATGTCAGATATCTTCACCTCATAATCTGGTCCTCCAAAGTGGGACTTCTTCTTCAGTTCGTTCAGGGCTGATTTGTAGCCCTCCTCTATTCTCCGCCTTTTCTCCATTTCCTACAACACCACCAAACACACAAACGTCCAACATCATCACACAACAACAGCTGTAGGAAGAGAGTTGACCATGAACACAGTCAGAGGCCAAACTCTTTTCTTAAAAGTATTTCCAGGACTTTGCGTCACACTATACTTTTATTGCAAATGAATGGAAAAAATACTAATTCAACTTCCTGCTTTTAAAGACTTCTCAATGTGTGATATCTGACAGTAAAACGTGTCTTCCATTTTGAACTTTTCTCTCTGAACATCAATAAACATTGGTTTTAACAGTTTAAGGTAATGTTTGGCACAGACCTTATCCAGTCTCTTCTGCCAGCTGTCTTCTCTCTTCACCATCAGGTCAATACAGTGGGTTAGCGTGGCCAGGATACCAGCTGTGGTGGCTTTGAATGTGATGGCTTCACCCTTAAAGTCTATGCCATTTATTCCCTTGGGAGTCAAAGACTGGAACACTGCACAGAGACAGAGGTGCATTATTGTTGTAGCATCCATTGTTTCCAGTTAGCTGTGAATGTGGGGGATCAAAAAAATGCATTTAGCCCTACTCACATTTTTCTTTGCTGCCATTATGCAGGAATTCTCCATCCGTGCGGGTGTTGGGAAAGTCATCTTCATCATCCTCAATAACTGGAAAAAAGGTGAGTGAAAAGTGAGTGCAGATTATGAAAAGAAATAGAAGCAGCGCTCAACTCATTTAAGGCTCCAGGACAAGTCACTGCCTTGTGTCCCGCACTCCATCTACAACACACACACACACACACACACACACATCAACAGAATAGCAGAACTCTGCTGTTGCACAATAACATGACAATGGTGTGGTTTCATCGACAGAATGGGGAGAGAGAGAGGGAGAGAGTGTGAAAGAGGAAGAGGGAGGTGAGGAGAACAAAAGCACAGCTTCATTCACTCTGCTCCACCAGAGATGCCCAGTGGAAGCTGCTGGGAGTGACTACGACTGGGTTGGATGGCGGCTGTGAGAAGGTGGGCAGGAGAAAGGCTGTATCTCACTCTCTCTCACTCAATATTTCTTACACAGCTTTTCTACAGGTTTCTTATTAAACACATGCAGTTCACATAAAGACTTAAAATCTCGTGTTTATTATGACAAGAATTGGAATTACTGATTTCTTTACCACAAGGGTAGGTCAAAAAGTTGCAAGACAAAGAGGAAAAACAATGATTCATATATTACACATGTGTACAACATTTCCAGCTCCAGCGTTGACCGGGATGTAATGAAAAAAGTTGTCAAAGCTATTACAGTCAGCTGAGAGTTGAAGAGTGTTTTTTTTTAATCAGACACCTTTAAATGATAACATCAGTCTGAGAACTTTTTGTTGTTTTTCTTTCTCCACTAGTTTGATTCCCCTGATGACAAAGGAGCAGCTGTCGAGTGCTTCAGGTTCAATAACTGACAAAAGACAATAACAATCAGAATGATTTTATTTTCTGTTCTTTCATTTGTCAATTGTGAATCCTGTAAGTCGTCCCTGGTTGGTATCATAGACTCACTACACCCTCATCCTTAACCTCAGCCTCGCTCTAACACCACCACTAAAATCACATTATATAGTTGTGGCTGTAGATGGAACTCAAACCAACTAAGCACTTTGTGAAGAGCACTTTGACACTGACTTCCTGTTCTCTCTGTTTACATGTTGATAATTGTGAACTTAGCTAACTTTATTTTAAGGTACTGCGAGTTAAAAATCTGTTTATATAAAACCAAAAACATCTAAAAATATTGCTCACAGCTAACACCACCATCACAACCACCATCCAGGAAACAAGGTAACCTAAAACTGAAATTTTTTATGTTAATTCAGCTTTTTTCGGTTTGTCATAGAACTGTTTGACCACCTATTGATCAGAAACATGCAGCTGAAAAGCGAGTGTTTCCTACTTTTGTCTCTTTGCAGCTCGTCTTTGAACACGGCATCTGAACAGCTGTCAAAGTACTTCTGCAGTGTGTCCACCTGTCGACACAGAATGTCCCTGAAGGTCTCCATCTCTGCCAGCTTCTCCTTCAGCCTGTGTCCCTTCTGTGGAAACAGACAACATGGCCCTCAGGTCTGTGACATTTTTTGAATATTTCTGGGCCTCATTTAAACTGGACTCTGTCAACACCGCAGTAAATACAAAGCAGAATATTCACCTTGAAGGAGGAGGTGGAGGTGGCAGAGTAGCCACTGGTGGCTGATGTAAGAGACAGCATGGAGCCATGTCTCCGCAGACTAGACTCTGAGCCGTATCCGGAATCAGCCTATCAAAAACATACACACACACGTAGACACAAGTAGTGTTACTAAAAACACTACAATTAAAAGTGATTAAGCAAAAAATACAAAAAAAACTCTAGAAGCAAATGCCCTAAGAACTAGGGCCAAATAAATTGTCAAGTTTGTACTGTCTCAGACTGTTCAAAATGCTTAAATAATAATAAAATGTGTTGGGAAAATGTTCCTTGTCAAGATCCAAACTGAGTCAGATGAAAAATAGTCAAATGAAAGTAAAAAAGTTTTATTAAGATCACGTTTGTTGGCATTTGAAAAGTGTGAGACCATGTTGTCTTCTTTTGGCTGATCGTCTGCCTCCATCTGATCGTACCCACTGCTACCACTGCTTTTACTCCAACTATCTCCATGTCCTCTTTTGAAACATCTACTAATCTCCTCTGAGGTCTTTCTCTTATCTGTTTCCCTGGTAACGCTACCTCTAACACCATTTGTCAATTTAGAGACTAGGCAATGACACACGTCCCTTGGAAAAAAAAAACTCGTAAAAAAAGGTTCCCCTTTCCTAGTCTTACCCTCTGAAAAAATGCATAACGACACGACACATGGCATTGTGAAATACATTAAGAAAAAGGGAAGATACGTTTGTTCCTTTGGACGATAATTCGCACTTCAGCCACAAGAGGGCAGCACATGCAATCGCACGTGACTGTTATATCAAACAGCTCGGGGTTACTATCGGTCAAAGACCAGGAGTAACTCCTGCAGTGTTCACATGGACTGTGGATCATTACTGACTGCCCTTCAGCCAACATATTGGTCCCACAGTGACTTCATCAGCACAGACAGTCTTACTGGGTCATTTAATCTGTTTTATGTTGCAACTGGAAAGGCAGACTGGAGCTTAGGTGTTGTTGTAGGATTAGATAAAAAATGTCATAAAAATGTTACATTTACCACTTGCTCGGCCTCCTGTCAGCACCCTCAGCTGCTGGGTGTGGAGGCCAGACACATGAACATGTTTAAGGTGTGTGAAGAGGAGCAACACTTTGTTACTGTTGTGTAAGGTATGTGTGAGTTAGTTAGCACTTAGACAGTCATAAAGCCTTCTTTAGCCTTACCACCGCCCTAATCCGACCTCAACTCTAACCCTTACTTATTAGCAGTTTTTGACCCAGTATATTTCGCTCAGTTTAGCTTTATTTATATATTTACACCATTATTGTTAATCTGGGTTTTTTGTTTTGTTTTACCACCCTTTAATTTTTGGCCTGCTCATAACAGTGTCAATTCATGGAGAAATGCATTTTAACCTGCAATAGGTTTTCTAACACGACTGTTTGATAGAATACGCGGCTGTGGTTCAGTCCGTGTAGTGACGGTCTCCCAGAGACAGATGTTGTTTTGATGTTGTGGTTATTTTGGTGTTTCGTTTTCTCTAACCATAGCAGGACGTGTGTGTTGGTTGCAGTCTGTGTTGTGTCTCCTTGGCAACGCTGGGCTGTTTGACTGCTGTGAGTAATGTAAGATGGAACAGGAAGGGGATCCTTCGAGAACCAGTGGGGCAGAGGGGGGGTTCTCAGCTGTGACTCATTGTGGAAGGATAACAGTTGTATGGGTGTGGGATACGCGTGCCTTCCCCCATTCTGACTGAGTCATAGTGGCTTACTGGTACTCAGATGAGACAGTGTGGAGGAGGGAAGAGAGAGTGAGGGAGGAAGAGGGGGGATTACTCGAAAATAAAAAGCAGGAGAGAGCGGCGTGTGTTTGTAGATCAACTAAGAGTGTGTTGACTGTTGTTTTTCTTTAATCCATATCAAATAAGCAGTGGCAGCGTTTCAATTGTTCCACCTGTTTGTTCCACCTGTTTGTTGTGTGCTTGCTTTTGTTTACTAAATAAACATGGGTGCACAGTGCATGCAGACAGACAAACAGACTCAGGCCACCACAGCATTCAGTGCCTTAGGGCAGCTGATGGTAATCAATACATCCTGAAGTCGTACAGACTTGCCAAGAAACGCACCAGTGGTGTAGGAACCAATACTGTTCCAAGGACTCCTCCCCTCACTTTGCTCCCCTCTCTGACACACTAACAGAAACACACACATGAATAGAATGATGACACATGAAAAACATATATTGGTCTGTCGATATTTGGCTGCTCTGTTGCGTCTGTGTTGGTGTATGTGTGCCTTACCCTGTGCAGCTCAATGGAGTCAATCCACTGGTTTCTGTGCTCTGGGTCTTGTGCTCTGAGGTACCACACGCTGTCGTTCACACTAATGTCCAGTCGGCACTCATCAAACTCATGAGGCTAAAACAAAGAACACATAATCCCAATACATTAACTGATGCAGTGGAAATGTAATAGAATTTCAAAGACAGCATGGTTTGTAGATCATTTATCTATGAGCCTTAATATGACTATGATGTAACTGGGTTAGAGTTAGGGAGAAAAAAACAATAGACACTTTTTCCTTTTTGTACTATTTGTATTTATTACAGTATCTAAATCTGTTCTGTGACAAATCCAGGGTTTTTTGACCAGCCAAACAGCTACTGGGGGTTGGGCAGGAGTACAGTATGTTCTTCTTTTAGCTGTTCCACCACCATTACTGTGCATTGATGTCTCTCAAACTGCTTATGTTTTCCCAGGTCACTTAAAAAAAAAGTCTGTATGGCCACATTCTGCAGCAGCAGTCGTAAGTCATATTATTTGTTCTAATTATTCTATTAAAAATTAAAAAAAAGATTGATTCCCCGCAATAGAATGTCAGTGAATGACACTGTATTGAAACTGACCTTAAAATGTCAGAGTAAAAAACTTTTAATTATTAATAATCAGTATTATTAATAGCATTACTATTACTGTAGTATTTTGGATGAACACTACCATTAACTGTAACATGCTACAATATAATATGGATAATATGCAAATATCATCTTATAGTGTTGCATCAGCAGTACCATGTTTTTTGACACCTGGTCTACACCAAAGCCAAGAACAGATGCTCAGTGATGTGCATCATGAAAGCAGACACCTAAAGGTGTAACAAAAAATCTTCAACCAACATCAAACCTAGTTAGTTTGTCTTTGGACTGAAACAGAGGGTTACAAGAAAGATTCTCCTTTAAAAGATTCTGCAAAACTTGCATAAATACGGACGTGATGCTGTGACAGAGATGGACAAGATGAGGAAGCTAAGTAAAGGAAGGAAACGCGCACAATGCCTCAGTTGATGGCAGGTCAAAAGATCATGAGACAATTTTAGTCAAGTTACACTGCAATCATTTCAAAATCAACATCTTTGAACGGAAAATAATTATTAACCCCCTCTCCCCCCAAAACATTACATTACACTCCAAAGATGAAAAATCACTTTCACCTTCTGCCTCTGTTGGGGGTTGCCCCAGAGGTAATCCAAACACAGTAAGCAATTCTTAATGTAGCCGTCAGCATTTCAATGGGCCTGGGACCAGCACTAGGTGGCACAGAATTAATGAGCAACCTGGGGTTAAGTGCATTCTTCAGGGACATACAGGCATGCAGCTGATGTACAATCAAACTCCCTATGTACTGAAATACAGCTGTTGCAATTACCAAATTATTATTAACAGAATTATTCCCACAGGTAAGTTGCTGGGATGGAGACAAAAAAAATGGTTCACTTACAGTATGTACAACAGGATCATGAGTTTATTAAAGTCAAGGAATAATTTTCTGTTGGTTGTAGAAGGCGAAATAGATCCAATGCAAGGGTCAACAATAAACTAACCATGAGGCCATCTTGGCAACCACACACCATCTATGTGCAGGTATGGCTTTAGTTTGCGTGTCCTCTTGTAACATCATTAACTAATATACCAGTTGAAGGAACACAGACTATGATATTTAAGAGAAAAGCAGTGAAAGTCTTTTAAAAGAGAACATATTTATCCTAAACAGGTAAGAACAAGTAGGAGTAAATGATTCATGTTTATTTAATAGTGTGAATCTTACTTTAAAATGAGGAACTCTAATGAGATGATACAGTTTCACCCCCTCTCTGTTCTTCTCAAACATAAACTTCCTATTCAGCTTCAAAAAGACTTCTGTTGTCTCCTCTCGTCGCCCCAACCCCTCTCTGAGCTGGTGTACGTGTCTACAGTCACAAACTTCCAAATTCAGACAAAAACTTTGGAAGTTCCTGAGTACTGAAACTATCCCAGATTTCTTGCCACATTTGTGCAAATGTTAACGTCATAATTACCCCCTCCACCCTCTTGTGAAGCTCAGGATCGAGGAACATCTTTGTCTGTATCACATTCTGTAGAATGTCTGTATCAATTATCTAGAATACAGGAAATGGGGCAAAAACAGTCAAAAAAAGGGGAAAGGGAAGTTTAAGTCAATATGACACGACAGTTATGAGAACACTTCCTCAATGAAATGCATGAACACACAGACACACACTCTCTCTCTCACTCACACACTTAGGACCTCCACCGTCAGGGAAGTTGCATTGTGTGCAGGGTTCCTTTTCCTGTCAAGAGACTTTCCACAGATCCTGATGTTGACCTCTGTATTTTGTTTAAGCTCCTCTATGAATCACTCCCTTCCATTTTGGCCAATACATTTCAAGGCTTCAATAGAAGAAATTGTTTTTAGAAAAGACAGCCCCAAGCCAGAGTTTTGAAGCACACATCTTATTTCTTGCATGACACTGTCCCTCCCAACTGGTCCATGTACCAGGGCTGTGGCAATAAATAATAAGGTATGTAATATTATTGTTTGTACATGCAGAATATTTATAGTTAGTTTATAGTTTATAAATTCAACTAGTGTGTTGTTTTTACTGATTAATTTTCTCTGCCATGTAAGTTGCTGTATATGATGTACTGTATATATGCATACGTATGTATGTATATGTATATATATTAGGGGTGCAACAACACGTACCTGTATTGAGCCGTTCAATACAGTGGTCTAGGTTGTGACAACAAAGTAAATTTATTCTGTTTGTGGACAAAACGAGACGATTTCTGCTGATAATCATCACAAACTGTAGCTCTGTATTATATACGACCCGTATGTCCATTTCAGACATATTTCCTTTGGGATGAGAAATGACCGCAGTGGAGTAACCCGTGGAGGAGGTAAATATTTACATATGCTGGGAATGGATAAAGCTGAACAAATACATTCTATGGCAAACCATGGCTCATGTTGACTGAGAACAGCCTCAAATTAATTTCCCTTGGTGGTGTTTGGAAAGAGGCGACGGGTGGGATTAATGCCCAGGGAGGGGTCTCTGTGGCTAATGTTAGTTTTGACTGAAACACCCACCATTAACCACTGTTAATTTGAAATCATTTGGTCTCTTTTGTCTGTGCCAACCTTTATTAACTTCTGCATCAGGATATTAATACACCTCAAAACCTGTTTTCACCACAGTCACTTACATGTCACTACTTGACTGTCTACAGCTAAAATGGCAAAGAACTAACTTTGTTATCAATAGGAGACAGATCTGGACTGCAGGCAAAAATGTTGACTCAGCTGACCTCCATGTCAGGATCCCAGTAAATATTTAAGGTGGTCTAATTGGTGGTAATAGTGGAGCCCTCTTTTAAGGGAGCATTTTAAATGTTTGTCTTTGTCTTTATCAGAAGAGATTCCCCCAGATGTCCTGAATGCTCTGACAAAATAGTAAAGTGCAGATTCTGTCAGCTCTCAGCCAGACATTCGTATTTCTAACAGTTAGACAATCAGTGTTTCCACTTGGACGTTTTTTTTAAACAGTGTTGTCAGGTTACACCCCCCCCCCCACACACACACACTTGCTGTTCCATTACCTCTGACGTTCCTGCTATTTATGTCACCTGTTTTGAGTTAATAAGATATTTTCCAGAATCCACACACACACCAACAGGGAGAGAAAGAGAGCAATAAGGGCAACAACAAACTGTTCGACAGTATTTAACCTCAGATATATATACTATAATAAGTTTTGCAACCTTTATCGTTACCTTAAAAACTCCCCTTTGTTTGTGAGTGTAGAGCTACATGGTTTGATATTTTGATATTTGATATTTTAAGACCAGGACCAATGTTAAATTTACAATTATATGTATGTAAATCTAGACTCATTTAACTTAAAATGTAAACTGTCTTCTGTTCAAGATGGTTTAGTTTTGGAAATGGAACAATGCTGCTGCTGAGACCTAGTCCTTATATGAACATGACATCATGACTGTCCATAATCCTTTCAAATCCTGTCACAGTTCATTCATTCGGTTACTGTACATTGACAGGGGAATGCTGAGAGTCACTGACAGTACAATTATCAAAATGAAGCTAACTTCAGCAGAGATAGCCAATGACTTAAGGTCCTGAACCTCATTGGGTGTTCAACCTATGCTCTATAACAACTTTAGTTGTTGTTTATAGCTAAACATAGAACTGCCCAACATGTTGAGACACTTTGGGATGTTTATATTTAGGGTACAGTAACTGGTAGACTATTATTGTACTACTGCCCCTATCCTAAAGCAGTGGCACAATAATTATAAGTGGTGGGCAGCGACTGTTTTAAGTACATGATAGAAACCCTAGACAACTATCTGTGGTTGATGTTCCTTTCAAACCAAATCTTCGAACCAGTTCAAATGCATTTGAGGAGCATTCTAGAACATAACCTCTATTCTACTTTCAGTCTTACTTTTGCAGTACAAGAGAATTACCCCACTACACAGTTTAGTTTCAGTTCCCCTTTTAGTTAATGTACCAACATTTTGGAAAATGTGGTTTGTAACAAATACTGTACCATCTACTAAGAACACAAGGAAAACGTCACATGCCTGTGTCATTCAGTGCTAGCATTCTATTAACCTTTGGTAAAGATGTGTCAGCTGACCATCCCAATGACCTTTGACCAACTGGCACCGTCGAGTTATCAGTGAAAACTAAGTAAGAAAAAAAAAGTGAAGTTGTTGATGACCAATGTCAACAGTGAGTGAAGCTTCAGTCCTAAGTATAGGTCCAGGTCAGGAAAGAACTTAACCTTTTCCTGGGAAGATCTCAAAGCTAAGCAAAGCTTGTACTGTTGGTCTTTAGATTGCTTTGGCAACAAACATTTGATCTTTTCATGATTGTTTTAACAGTACACAGGAGTGTTAAAAAAGACATGTTTTCATATCCAGGCAGTGAAAAATCATTGGAGAGACTGAACACTTGGCACATGCAATTTGAACCAACTAATAGAAGAAACTAGTTTACCCAAAGGTTACTTTCAAGACTCCTTTACAGACGAGTTTTATTTATATAACAACACAGAAGAACCATCCCTACAGTGGTGGCTCAGTGGTTAGGAAGGAAGCAGACTTATGTGTGGAAGGCTTCAGGTTCGAGTCACCAGCTGTCAAGTTACTACTGAGGTGCTCTGAGCATGGCACCGTCCCCACACACTGCTCCCCTGGTCCTTAAAGCTGTCCACTGTTCACTTTGGTGATGGGTTAAAGCAGAGGTCACATTTGGTTGTGTGCAGTGGTGAGCTGTGTCACAATGACAAGGAGTTCACTTTCTCTTTTCTTTTTCTATTCAGGCACATTTTACTGGCAACTTACAGAACTGCATATCAGCAGATTTAATTCATATTCTACAGTATACCATCATCTATCATATTGACCACATTGGGTCCAGTAATTCACCTATACAGTAACACTGGTCCAAACCCAATATAATCTTATCACATTTGAATGTTGCCAGTTTGTTTGCTATATGTGACTTTTTGCAGGTGGCTTTTTCTAGGCAACTGCAAAAAAAATCTTTGGTAAACTGCACACTAAAATACCAAAACACTAAACTGCACATCTGTTTGGCTTTGGATTATTGTAGAATACAGCACTGTGAGGCTTAAGCTGCAGAGGAAAATCATTTGTTATCTTTGCATTTTATTTGAATTTTTGCAAGTTATAAGAGTTTGTTCAGCTATAACAGTAGTTTATCTGTTTGCACTATGGTAGACTATGTTGACATACACAGTAAGACAATACTGTGATTTCTACTCTCTTGCAAAGGTGTAATTCTTATACTTGCACGAGGCTGTTCATTCTTGTAAGACACTTGGAAAGAGCCAGTGTTGAGCAAATGTGACAAGAACAAAAGAGTGCGGCCACAATATTGGGAAAGACCCAAAGAGTTACTTACAGTAATAACAGCTTTGCTAAGGCACAGGGATCCACGGCAGCCGTACTCCGTCTCATCCTGGGACTTGTAGTAGCTCAGAGTGTTATTTTTCAGTACAACCCAACGGTCCTGCCAGCCGTGGATGTAGTTTGTCCACTAAAAATAAAACAAAATCATAATGAGTAAAACTACTACTTAATGTGTATATTTATAAGGATAAAGTTTGTACAAAATGACTGTACAGCACATGTTTTATTACATTTGTTTACAACGTGTGACATATCCATTTCCCAGTGGAAAAATGAATTAGGGCGACTGTGGGAGTTAGTGTCATGTTGTGTATAGAGATTATCATGATGGCACAGGTAAGCTATTCAGGATGTAGATTTCCATAATCTCACAATATGCATGGATAGCAGTTTGGGTTTTTATCAGTTTAGGTGTATGCAGTGGTACAGTAGAATCAATTACCCATAGTTTTTTTAGCAGCACGGCTAATTAAAATAACAATGGCTATCCAAAATACAGTGTTGCAAGGGGCTTATGGGAAATCAGGTCACCTAGAAACTGTCGACTACTAATGTGTGTAGCAGGTGATTCTGTGTAGACACAGTCTACAGTGAGATTACTGTCATGGCAGGAGCTTAACTAATTAAAGCTGCGGTCAGATTGCCCAAAACAATGTGTTGCACAAAGCATATGGTAGAACTGAGTAACAAGAGTTAGTCTAGCAGTTAACTGTGTGTTTACCCAAGAAAGAGACCACAGAGCTATGTTAACATCTGCTAGTTATTTACAATGTAATCTACTGTTTACTCTCTGCAGTTCTAACAAGTAATTACATATTTAATTAGTTAAACATGTAATTACTTCTTGTTTTCTTCGATTTGAATGTTGTTTTTTTATTTATTTTTTTGCCTCATGATGAAACAACACTTAACACACGAGAGCACAACCACTAAGTCAGTTCGACTAAAGAATGTGGGGGATGCAGGATTTTATGAAAACACACAGTTACACAAAAGTCATGTCCCCATTCATCTTTAATGGGCAGAAAATGATGGTGATGTACATATTAAATTTGCAGAGATGCTGCCCTCTGAGTTTTCTCTTGTTCTTTTCAATGAAGCAACTCAGGAAAGGGAGTTACACTCAATAAGCAGCTGTGTGTTATTTAGATCTAAACAACTCAAAGCACACTATTGTACATAATACGTTTAGTCAGGATGCAATTTTGAGATCAAAAGTGAATGTTTTTTTCTTAGGTTTTACGTTTACAGTTTGCCTTTTTAAATATTGCCTTGTGACATTTTAGGTGTTGGTCAACGGCATGTTAGCATCATTGTAGACAACCTAATATTTGTATTTGACTCAAAGACTCAAATGTTATATGCTGTGTTGTCATGGAATATATGATTACATTATAATCATTTATATCATTTAAACTGCAGTTGTAGGTAGTGATACTGTGAACGGAGGGTCTGTTCTGCCATTCACCTCCACTCCAACTGACAGTTAAAATGTTGACCGTAAGTCAGTGAAACAGTTGATAAACTACTCTCAAACAATTAGATTCCCTTGTTTCGTTGTACCGAGGCTGAGCCAAGTAAAAAAAACCGACTTACTTTACTGAGGATGCCGCTGAACTCGCCCACACCGACAGGATGTCCAGGCTCATCTCTGGGCTCCAAATCTTCCTCGGACCCGGAAGAGTTCCAGCTCTGGTTATCGGACATTTCCTCCGGCATATGACGCTGGGGTGGTTAAATATACGCCGGTAGTGTTAGCTAAGCTGAGAGGATGTATCTCTGTGCGGAGCAACAGTTTATGGAACCATGTCCTGTTATTATTGACTGGCTAATGGCTCTTAGTGCACGAGGAGTTCACCCAGATAGCCCAGGCTCGAGCCGAATCGATATCAGGCTGGTCCCACCGCGCAAGTTAAAGCTAGTTAGCCCAACGTTTGGCACACATTCTGTGGTCAAGCCTTTCAGGTGAACCTGTTAACTAACGTCTGTCGCCCTGTTTTCCTACGGCGTTTAACGGCGTCCTTACAACGATCACAAAACGTCTGAAATGCGTACCAACGCTGTTAGGCAAACGTCGGCGGTTACATATAATCCTTAGCAGGCGTGTCGGGAAACGCTGGATCCGTGGCAGCCGTTGTTTACGTTCGCGAACCGGTGACAGCTCTTCTTCTCACAACACCACCTCCGACTGACGTGTAGAACTGCCGCTCGCTGTAGGAGAGCGTGTTCCAACTTGTGTGGCGAGAGGCCTGGGCGCTGGCTGGGCGTGACGTCACACAAACACAATCCTAATATGGAACGAAGACCCGCCCCCTCTATAACGACTCAGAATAAACCCCGGAGTACTAGCAGACCACCATAGGACACCTAATGTGTTAACATACAAACAATATAAAAGCGGAGGAATATGTCAACATACATTCAGGAACATACACCTTAATCCCGAAAAATTGTAATTAATAAAAAAAATTAGTTTATTATAATTTATTATTATTATTATCATTATTATTATTATTAAACCCAGTACTCTTTATTTAGAGTAAAGACACTAATGGCTTCATTACCATTTGGCTTACACTATTTTACTGCACTGAAAAAATAAATAAGAAGGGCATTAAGAATAACAGTGATAAGAATAATAAGTATTGTGTAATACTATGACAATATGAATATTTAAGAAGAGTAGTCACTTACCACTTTAATGGAATAAACAAGGTTTTCCAAATACAATATTAACAGTTATTATTATTATTATCCATCCATTTTTATCCACTTATCCGTTACCGGGTCACGGGGGCAGCAGTCGCCACCCAAATCACACTGCACCGTACCAACCCCCTTGAACCTTCCTGCAGGTGGTGAGTCCACTGGAAGGTACCAACCGCCCTGACTGGGATTCGATCTTGCCCAGCAGGTGAACCCTGGGGTTTCACACCACTGACGGAAACATTGCCTCTGGGCCAAAGCGCCACTATTATTATTGTTGTTACTATTATTAGTGCTGTTGTTGTTGTCAAGCTAAGTAATAGTACAAATGGACTTCTGGCATTAAGAACAGAGGAGTAGTATTTCATAGGCTATGGAAGCAGACCAAGATTTGCAGTGATTGAGTACTGTACAAGTACGTCTACAAAAGACAGAAATATACATGTATTATTTTGTCAAAATTCTAAAACATTTGCAGTTTAATTGAGACTCATTAGAGTATTAGTGAATTTAATCTCAGTGATAATGGATACTAATGGAGCCTGACTCACATGTCTGAGTGACTCAATGTCAAGATTGACTTTTTAGAGGCCTACGCAGAAGACCATTAGCATATAGAGTACACTGAAGTCGTGTTGTTATTAGATGGTTTTATTCGCTTGGCAAAGACAGCCATTATCCAGTTGCATATATACAATCATACATCAATGCACTCATTTGTGTTATTGATGCACTACGACTTGAGCTTTTATATGCCTGAACAGTTTGTGTGTCCATTATTTCTGAAGGTAGGAAATCATACCAGATGTACAAGCAAAATACTTAAGATCTCAGCAGAATAAATAAATCATAATAAATGCCTATTGTCTTAAAGGTTTGACAATAAAATATGTCAAAGCCCCAATACAATGACAAATTACCTCAAAGAAACATAATATATAGAAACAAATTAAAGAAAATCAATTAAATACAATTCTTGTGTATGTAAATGACAAAAGTATTTTTCACATTTCCTATAAATACATTACCTTATTCCTATAAATAAGCTGTTGTGGGGGGGGGGGCATATTGTGACAGCATCGGAAATCTGTCTTAGTACTTTTTGACTTACTATAACCACAAACAACACACAGGAATTGTACTACTCTGTCTCCACCCCTAACGTTGGTCTGTTCTAGGCCTGCGTTCCTGTTAACCACAAGTCAAGTGATTATCCTTTTGCAATTTACTGCACACAAAGACCCACACAGCTGAGCACATACACATTCTGACAACACTAAGGAGTGGGGAGGGTGAGAGGGGAAGTGAGGAGTTCTTCTGGTCGGGTCATGGGTTTTGTGCCAGTTCCATGGAATCATAAGACCTGGAAAGAGACCACAAGACTTGCATTAGCTGCACGACGTAACACTTGAATTCCACAGACTGGAAAACTCTGTGAAATGGGAAGATAAAGTTGAACTTAGTTAACTAGCTTCGATGCCTTTTATGTGTGAGAGTGAACTCAGAGAGAAGTTGAAGTGGAATTGGCTTCACTTTTCCTCAAGATAATGCAGCCAAATGTTGGTGAAACAACAACAACAAAACTGTTTTATCGCCTTGTAATATTTAGGTTTTTTTTAAAAAAGCATTTGAAATGCAGATTTATGAGGAAAATATTGGAGCACTTTTCTCCCAGATTTGTTTAAGTGAAGTCAGCCCTGGTTACCAGTAATTTCCTAAAAACAGACGCCTCGGTGGTAATGCCTTGGGGATAAGTTGTTGTTTGACCAGATAGGGTTCAACCAGCTGATTAAATCACAGTGACACACAAATTGCCCCTGACTTAGAGCCAGTGTGATTCATTAGGTGGCCAGCAGTCAAGGACCATGACTCAGTCGGGCCTGATCATGCAGTAATGTGATTAAATCACATCCTTTTTGTGCTGCAGATTCCTCATGGATCAGCAGCTCCAAGTAGGTAAAAGGGTATGAAGCAGCTGGTCCGTTCAGATGGATTTGTAGTTCTACTGTATTTGACTTTTCCATTTCTTCATTAGACTGGAACACAAACAGTTTAAATGTGTGAATTCTAGCCTACATTTCTGTTTCAGCCTCAAATCTTTATAAAGTCCTCTGGCAAATTAACTTTTAAAAAACCCTCTGTTAAACCAGTTGAAACAAAACCCGGAAAAACGGGTTTTACTTAAAATGTTTTAGCTTGTTATCAGCAGCTACGTGTGGACGTGACTAAACAGCACCAGTACCTTTGAGGACTATTACGTAAGACTTTTCACATAAGACGTTAGTGTGACTGGAACCTTGACCTGAGCTATAAATGTCTCTAGGCCTGCTGTGCCCCCTACTGGCTCTTAGGAGAAAGGTCATACCATGGTACCATGGAGTGTGAGTGGACTGTCACACGGAAAATTATAAAATAGAATAATACTGTAGAATAATGTACTGGAGATATATTTTGTGTAACGTTTCATATGTAGCATATTAAGTACACAAAAATATGCTAAAATGTCAACTCTATATGTTAAAACTATGATCTTCTTGCTCATTTGTCCTTTTGGGTATTTTACACTGAAGTTTGTCTGTAACGTGCACATAATAAAAATGTTCAAATATAAGAGCAGTATCATAAACAGTTAAAAAACACATTATTATATATATATTACATATTTGAGCACATACATATATTGTCGACTAAAAATATATCAGATTCATAAATCTGATATATTTTTCAAGCCGGAAGAAGAAGAAGAAGAAGAAGAGTGAGGCAAGTGTATTTCTAGTTCACCGTTCTTTGATTTAACAAGTGGAAGGAAAAAAATACACATAGGAACAGCGAGTACTGTATGGGTGATATTTCAGTCCACTAGGAGGCAGTGTAGTATTTTGGATGACTTCACAAGGGCTTTAACGGCCAGATTTAAAACACAAAACAAAACACATTTATTTAAAAAAAAGTAACTTGTGGCAGGAAGAAAACTATCTATGAAACAATGGACTTGGACAAAGGACTGCATGTATAGACCTGGGTATTATTCTGTTCAGTTTTTATTTTGAACTATTGTATGTCTTGTACGGACTTTGTCAAATATACTGTACATGGTTATGCTGCTCTACATTATATATTTCCAAATATATCTTTAATTCCCTTCCTTCCTTTTTACACAGTCAAATCTCCTGAAACTGGATCTCCATTTTTTTTAAAAGAACCTGTTCTTCTTCAGGTGGAAAAACCCGTCGTCTTCCTACAGCACAACAAATCCTGCAGTGGTTTTTACACAGCGCCCTAAAGCAGTTTCACACATAAAGCATGATGACTCAGTTTGAGAGGAAGACTATTACTTACCCCCTGTCCTCCCCCTCCTCCACCGCCTCCACCACCACAATAGACTGCCTGTTGATTTAGTGTCTCTTCACTTCAGGGATGTCACAGCACTGGGAGTGAGGAGGTTACTATTTCATTCATCCATTTCCTACTGCGGAATCCTTTCAGGGATGCAGGGAGCTGTAGCCACTCACAGCAGCCATTGAGTGAAGGCTGGGTTCACCCTGAACATTTCACTAGTCTGTCACATGGGCCACATATGGACAAGCAACCATTTACACTCACATTCCCTGGTGGACCCTGGGGCCCCCAAAGTTTTTTCAAACGGTCCTGAGTGCACCATATTTTTGGTACCATCACAACAGACACCGATACTGCTTCTGAATACGGATGCAGGGAATAAACTTGTTTTTTAAATCTTCACCTGCCTACTGTTATGTTTATCTGTCAAATAATTAATGAATAAATACCATATTGGTGAATTTGACTTTTCTCTCTCCTCTGCTGTCTCCCCCATCCCTCCCCCTCCCACTCTCCAACTCTCCTGAAACAGCAGGTTGTAGAGTAGAGTTCTGAGCCTGTGTCCATCCTCTCCTCCTCCTCCTGTTTCTGAGCCTGTGTCCATCCTCTCCTCCCTGCGTCCCTGTTTTAAAGACAACAGAGCGGAACGCCGCCATCGGCAGCCTGAAATACAGCTCATTTGTCAGTGACACTGGAATGCTCTGACCTTCCCAAGACAGGCAGGCTTTGCCAACTCAGCGGTTTCTCCTTCCAGTGGAATTACGGTCGACACGTGCTTGAGTGAGAATGGCTGTACAAATATATTTGTGTGTGTTATTTAGTCTATAGGAGTCTATAAAATATACCTGTGAAAGACTATTTTACATTATATAGAATTAATGACTTTTTGAAGGCATTTTACAGGTTATCACTAACATTAACTTCCAGACAGATTTTTTAAATAAAGATCAGCATTTAGCTTGAACAATGGTTGAAAGCATAGTTTTATGCTTCCAACCATTGTTCAAGCTAAATGCTTCAGGTTTTCTGTCGCAATCTTTTTATATTTCTAAGTGAAGCTAGAGAGTTCAGTAAAAATGAAAACAGACATACCTTAATATTTAATTTCTTATGGTGAAAATACACAAGTATACTTCTTTAAAAGTCTTCAATTTAGGTCTGACTATGTCTGGGAAAGTGTGGTTTCTATCAGAGAATTTCTGCTGCTTCGCCTCGTCTAAAGGCTGAAATCAATTTCCCTTCAAATGTTCTTTCAGTTCTGTGAAAAGAAAAAGAAACCCAGATGGAGCCGATTAAAACCTGCAACAGTTTTATTAGGTTTGGTTAAATATTTGATGCTTTTTCAAGTGTTGAAAACCCTAAATAAATAAAATGTATCAAAGACCAAGACTTAACAAAGATATAATAATAACAATTGTTAGTTATTAAACTTAAGTAATCTGTCTTAAAACCTCTTGACTTAGCCTGTAATTTATATATATATATATTTATATATATAAATATATAATGTATTGATGAAGCAGTGACAGAGTGGTTAGTGCACAGTCCTTTCTTTCAGCTTCTGTGGTAACTAACAGTCATCTGTCACAATGCACTGACTCCAATATTGTGCACCCCAGTGGGAATGGTTGTTTTTGCCCTATATGTGGCGCTGTGACATCGTGGAATTACATCTACTAACATCAGAGTTTAAGCATTATCAAGTTATCTTTGAGCAGTAGATCTCCAGTGTCTGCTGTAGCTCAGTGTTACCAAGCCCATAACTCAGAGTTAGTCAGACAGTGTAATTTGATGTGTCTGGAAATGGAACAATATGTTCTCCGGTAAAGCGGAGGAGTCGGTCATCACTAATGAGACGATGTGATTAAAACCTAACTCAGTGATGAACGTTGGATTGGAAGGTACAAGGAAAGAGGAGTTGGAAATGTTCTTTCTTTTTTCTTTATCTATTTCTTCTTCTCTGTCTTTTCTTCCCTAAAACTCGTATTTATTTAGTTGCTTTGTGTATTTTTGTTTTTCTACTTTCTTTCTTTCTTTCTTTCTTTCTTTCTTTCTTTCTTTGCCCTCTGGATGACAACGAGAGAGCAGCAATTAAAATCACTGTCACTCATTCATCTATTCAGGTAATTCAGATTGGCCTGTGCCAGAGAGGGAGAGAGGGAGATTTTATTTACACATTTGTAAAAACCTTACAAACATGGTGTCACCCTAACAAAGAAAGCATCAAATCTGCAGTGATCTCAGTCTGATCTTGATCTGAACAGATGCAGTTTCACTTCTCTCTCATCTCTTAATGCTTTAATGATTTCCAGGACCATGGGAGTGCTGGGTCCAAATCCCAGCAGCCATTGTGGGAGACCACTGCTCATTCTAATTTCACCAAATGTCAATACAATGCATGTGTAAATAGTCGTAAGTAGCGGGGCCTGTTGTGGACCAGTGAACTGTCCAGGGTCCTGTCCTTGAAGACAGCTGTGATCCTCAACAGAATTAAGCAGTGAGTGAATGAATAAATGAATGACTGTCATTGTATCAACACAGGAGTCTCTGCAGTCACCTTCTGTATATTTTCTACCTCCACTACTACCTGAGGGATAAACCGAATGTCTTTCATAATGGAACACCATTTCTTTACCTCAGGCACCCTGGAGTTCTTGATGCAGAAAAAACCCATCCACCTCTAGGCCTCCTGCAGTCCCTCAGTTTCACCTGAAATCTCTCTTCTCTTCATCTTATTCATCATATCTTACATTCGCTATGATTGTGGCAAACGTAAACAGAGCTCTGTTCAATCATTATCATTCCCTGTGGTCCAGTGGTATGAGGATCGGGCTGCAGAACCTAAGCACCACTACCCTTTCTCCCCGCACGCTACTGTAGAGCAATCAGACCCCCAGGTGTGGGTTGATGGGTTAAAAACAAAGGACATATTTGGTTGTGTGTGTGTATGTGTGTGTGTTTATGTACAAAGATACTAAAGGTGAGTCTTTGTCCTCCACTTCATCAAAACACCCACGTGTCCATATGACATGATTACATGTTGCATCCACTGATGATGCCCACACTTACCTCCTCACATCAAGCCATACATGTCACATACTGTACTCTCCCAGCATGAACACACCCACGTACACTCAGTAATGAATGCAGCAGCAGTTCAGTAGGAAACACCAAAGGTTGTCTTTCTGTTTGAAGATATCATGTGCTTCTGCCGAGTGAGAAGGAAGAGGACTAGCTGCACATACGGACACTTTAACTTTGGACACAGTTTCTGCTGGAATCCATTAGTGTCTGACTAACTGCCCCTCAGTGACACTAAATGTTGCAGTGCTCTCTGAACCCATCCCTGTCCTCCTGCAGCCCCTCCCTCCTCATCCCACTAAAATCCCTCACCTCTGTGTGTTCAGAAATGTAATTAACCTTGCTTTAACCTGACAGTCTTTTCCATTTGTCTTGTTACCTAAAACAGCACAAAACAGTTTCTCAACACACACAGAAGCTCATCAATGTGGTTGAGGAAACAGGAGAGTCCAGCACATCCCAAATGATCAGCCCTATTTACAGCACTCTTATATAAAACTGTGGTTTTCAAGCTAGGAGGTCAGAGCACCTGGATTGGCCAGGAGCCATAGGAAGGCTCTAGAAGTTATTGAATAGATTAATGACTTTTATTATTGAGTAGAACACTATCTGACCTCTGTATTTTACCATCACCAGTGAGCAACCCATCACCAGTGAGCAGGGGGCAGCTGAAGCACCTGGGGAGTAGAGTGTGGGGACGGTCCCATGCTCAGAGCACCTCATTGGCAACTGGTGGACGACCTACAGCAGTACTTCTCAAATAGTGGGGCGGGTCCCTGGGGGGGGTGAGGTCCAATGGAATATGGCACGGTGGACACAAGTGTACCACTGCTGTAATGCTTGAATGATAACAAGCCTCCAGTCACTAGGTGGCAGCAACTCATACAGTGGTTTGTACGTATAGAAATATACATGTTATCAGGTTCTCAATAGTGTTTCAATTTGAAATGATGCGTGGACTGGTGAACTGGACCCTGTCCAGCTGATGACTGCCGGGGTCAGTTCCAGCTTCAGTGGACTACGTGGTAGAACATAAGAAGCTTTGCACAAAAGTTAATGCACAAAACAGAAGTCAGGAGCAGCAGCCAGAATCAGGTGATGTCATGTCTGCTCCGCCCTTCTCCTGTAATTAGCCTCTTCTATTACACCTGGGTTTTACCTTCACACTGATTACCTGATGTGCTCCACCTGTGCTGCCATCTTGTGCAAACCCACACACTCTCAGTCTGTCGTGGTCGTGCTGGACTGTTGAGACTCTTTCTAATGTCTGCTCCTAAATCCTGTTGCCTGTGTTTCCTGTTGTCTGCTCACGGTGGAGTCTCCATGTTCTCCACATCCTATCACCAACACCTGCTGCATACAGACTCAATCTCTTGTGTCTTTCTAGTTTGGTGAGTGAACCACAATATCCATTGTTTGTTTTTGTTTTTTATCTTAATGGACATTTAAAAAAAACAAACAACTATCTTAATGGACATTTAAAAAAAACAACATTTTTGTGTCCTCTCTCACCCATTAAACGAGCATTTCTGTGTCCTCTCTCACCCATTAAACGAATGAAGTGTGTGTTTTTCTTTGGTCTTTTTTGTGATTTTGCTTCATTTGAGTCCAAACTCTTGGGTTGAAGTGGGGCACTGTGACCGTGACAATGAGCTGACTGCTGTGGCATAAACACTACACAACAGTTTAAGCACACATTTGACTTTAAGTATGGTTTTCTGCAAATATGCTTCTTGGTTAGCCTAGCATGTGCTACCCTGGAAGCATCAATTACCATCACCACTTCTCCAAGTGTAACTATATGTTTCAATAAGTCATTAGGTGTCTGACAAAAAAAAAAATCACATCTACATCCAACCAAAATCGTATTTCTAAATGTTTGTCTGTAGTGTACAAAAATACCTCTTAATGTATGACAAAAACAAGTAGTTAGATGATCATATTGTGGAGTACTACGTGTACTCCACAATACAATCTGTTATGTTCTACCTGTGTGTAGGTACTGAAAGATGTGAGTACAATGTGTAATTACAGGCAAAAATAAAGTAATTAATTCTGATCCATTCAACAGCCGACCTTGCTAACAATCCCCTTTGTTTCAAAGACATGGAATTATGGGCCAGCTAGCCCACATAATTAAAAAAAAAGAAATTAAACTTTGGATTACTCTTCAGGACCTCAAAGATGGCTGAATGCACAGAGTGTGAATGTGCGCGGGTGTATACATCGTGTCGGTATACACATCTGTATCACTTTGAAATTGAATTTCCATGCTTTTGTCATCTTTCGTCAAGTAACGCTGCAAACTAACGCATGTCATGCTGGCCTCGGCTACGGTTGATTCTAAAATGCTGCCGCTCGCCTTTGAACTAGCGCTGAAAACCAAGAGCACATCGACCCGATCTTGAATTTGTTTTTAGATGTCTTCAGTGTCTTTCCCCATACTATCTGTCCATGCCAAAGACGAGGAGGAAGTTGGAGGGACCAAGATTCTTCAGTCTCAGCCCCCTAACCTGGATTGTTTCCTCACTGGCTGTTGGCTCTGTTTGAGATTTGAGATCTGTTTCATATACATTTGACTTCTTTTTGTGATGATTCAGCTATATTATTTTCTAATTATTTCATTCTATTGTTCTGTCCGTGATGTTCAGCACTCTGACCAAAGTGCTTTATCAATAAAGTTGAGTTGAGTAACAACAAACCGATTCCCTGTCTTCTTGCTTCGTCTTGTATATTATTGGCTCACAGTGACGCCTACCGGTATATGACTTTTTTTTTTTTTTTTTCTCAAAATGGTTTGAGGTCTGCTAATGAGCAGTAACTGACCAATAATGAATTAACCCAATAGGTGGCAGTGATGTAACTGAGAAGAATACAGACCCTCACTAAGAGTCGTACTAAATACATAATACATCTTCAAATAGATGTAGTGTAACTCAATTGTCAGTGGGTTGTTTTTTTTTTGTCAGTATAGAAGTTTATCCATCTGTGGCAGGTGGTCTCCTGTTCTGTATCATTGTCGATTTGTGTGTATGTCTACTGTATGTACGTTTCATCTTCAGGAGAGATGCCCCGGGCTGGGGTCAGACCAACTCCACTCAGTGCAGGGCGTAATAAACTCTATGAAGCTAAATATCTGTGTGTGTATATATGTATGTATATATTTATATGTGTATATATTTACGTGTGTATATATGATATATGTGTATGTTTATGTATGTATGTGAATATACATACATTATTACATATAAACTTATGTCTATATGTACAGTATATGCACGTCTAATTGCAACCAATATGTTTGTCATGCAGCGTTCACTCTAGTCTTTGTTTTTCTGAAACACAGGACTTGACTGTCTAAACGTCGCCCACGCTACATTATGAATCCCTGTGTCCACCAACTCATGGGTTTATTTACATCCTGTGTTCAAACAGATCGTGAGTGAGGGTTCAGGAGAAGGAACAAAGGAGATGGTAATGACGTTCCTGTTCTCACATCTAGAACAGACGTGGTGCAGAAATAGATTAGTGCCGACTCGGTACTTGTTTGTGCTGTGCATAAATGTGTTGAGTTATAATGAATCTCAACCCTGAGTTTCCTAACAGCGTAAGAGTTCCCCCTAAACACTTATATTAGATAGCTGCACACAGGAGGGCGATCCAGTGAAGGCTGTGGCCTCTTCCTCTCTAATCATGCAGAATCAGATGGGCTTTTAGAGACCGCTTATACCCACGTGTCTCATTCAAAATTTGATGTGCTAAAATTCTTGTTCTTTTTCCAACCATTTTCTTCCTAGGCTTACAGCAAGAGCAGTGACAGGCTTCAGTTGACCCCCATTTGACCCCTGAAGTGTACCAGTCCTGTTTTTGATGAAGGTAAAATTGATGATTTTACATTTTGAAGAAAAGGGTTTGTCGTCAGTTAATTATTAAGTGTGATTTGGCCATTGAAGCAACTTGTGTTGGCCAGAATTGTTACCTATGTTTACTATGTTTTAAATACCCAGACAGCAGAAGATAAAGTAATCTCCAACTCTGTCTGCAATCTCAAAAAATATATATATATATATCCATGCTAAAGTGTTGACTTCTCAATATTACAGTAACTACATTTTTTCGTCACTCTGTCACTGCTTTACATACTGTGGTGTAATGGATCTCATTAATGTACGATGTGATTGGTTTTCTTGTCAGTCTGTAATTTTTTTAATGTGAACGTTGTTTTTATCAGGTCATCACTTGAATTAGATTGAATGTAAGATGATGTAATCTGTTGGACAAATGAGCACGACCATGTCGTTCGTCCTCCTTGTATGGTCGGTCACAAGTCATTTCATAACAGATCAACTACAGATGGGATGGTTCGTGTGTTGTCACATCTCTGCCTTTTGCTCTTTGCTCACTGTATTAATTACTTATTCAACAGGCATTAAAGGGATAGTGCAGTGTGTGTGTGTGTGTGTGTATATATATATATATATATATATACACGTATATTGCAATGCTGGTGCTGGTGGCAGACATCTGGATGTCCTGCAGTTGAAGCAGAAAGTGAACACATTTTAAATGCAAATAGAACTGACAGGAAAGTGTTTTCAAAAATGCATTTTATAAAAAGTGGTTCTGCCTCAAAGTCCAATCAGCTAGCAGAGGCCCAGCTCTCGCTGCCACCTACTGCTCCATTGATTCCCCATGAATCCCAGCTGTCATGGCAGTGACAGTTTCCTGATCAGCAACTATGGAAACAAACCTTCCCAGTGCTGTGTCCCATCATCAGGTCAGACTGAAACTGAGGGCTTTAACACAGAACCAATTAAAAGACATTCAGCTGATCTCTGATATCTTCTTATAGAAAATAAATATCCAAATGCACCTTCGTACCGAGCCCTGTTTCTTCTTCTTCTCCTTTTAAACTCAGGATCCAGTGAACTCCCATCTAAACCCTCCATCACTCCACGCAGCCACAGGAATTCCCACTGCTGTTCTACTACTCCAGCACTTCAGTGCAGTCAGGGCCCAAGAGTGTTTGATTCCAGTCGGTACTACTCCAGCAGCATCCCTCCTCCGCTCCTCCCCCTCCTCCTCCTCCTTTTCCTCACACTCACGCTTCCCGCCCTCCCCCTCAGCCTCTCCGCCTCCCCTCGTCTTCCCCGGACTGCAGTGGAGGAAGGAAACCGCTGCACCGAAGAAGACGAGAAACAAGAAGAAAAAAAGAGAAAAGATCTAGTCGCGATGCCGTCAACCTCTGCTGCTGTGGAGGGAGGAGGGAACCAGCAAACCGGCAGCACACACACTCACTCCAACTCGGCATGAACACCCGGCTCCTCTGTGCCAGATTGTGAGTATTTCTTTCTTTCTTCCTTTTTTTTTCTTTTCCACATTTCTTTTTCCCCCCACATTACCATGTGCCAAACTGTAACTTCATCCTCCCTGTGAGCACAGATGGCATCACTGTCTCCCCGCATCATTTAAAATTCACAATGGAGACAGGAGATGCTGCGTGCACCTGCACGAGGCTCATTTTCCAGAGGAAGATGAAACATGAATTGACTCGTGTGCGCGCATAATTGCGGGAAAAGTTGTGGGAACTTAAACTTAAAAAAAATAGAATTTAAGTTAACATGAGGACGACTTCGTGTGTTGATAATTCACACCACACTGTGTGTATCTGATCACGTCAGTGTTTGCTACAAAATAAGTCGTTTCATTTCTTATCGTTTCATTTTAATTTTTTGTTAAAGTTTGCGTGGCGTGAAGGATCGTGTGCACGGTTCATTCAGCCGTGCACTGACTTCTGTGAGACTGAGTGATGCTGCTGCTGCTGCCGGTGACGGTGCTGGTGCTGAGGCTGAGCTCGGCGTGCATCTCTGTGGGTCGTTCGGTGTCGGCGGTTCGATGAGTCGGTGCGCACCGGCTGTGCTGCGTGCTCCACGCCGAGCGCACACATGTCGCGCACGTCGTCCATCACTCAGGAGCCCCTTTCCCAGGGCGGTGTGTGCAGTGGGGCCAGTCTTTCCTCTCACCGCATACATGGCGCACTGAGCCGCCGCTCCGCAGGGCACGATTGATTCCCAGTCTGCGGGACAGCCCCCGATATCTAATTATGGGACGCGAATTGCGTCGACGCGCACCGTAGTGATTGATGTTCCTCCCTGGACGTAGTCTGTGAGCCGTGTTCAGCCTGTGGAGCTGCGGTTGAGGCTGTGGTAGTAAACAGTGCAGCGGTGGAGCAGTGGAGCAGTGGACAGGGGAGGGACTCAGTTACCTGAGTTTGAACACAGTGTGATTTGCACATGTGGCTGAATAATAAAAAAAAAAAAGACAATTAAAATTTGTAGTTTACAGTAAGATTTTACGTTTATGCAGATTTGTTCAGACAAAGATAAATAAGGCTAGGGAAGAGTGGCTAGAGATCTTGCCGTACAACAAGAAGATCCCAGGTTTGATCCCAGGTGGTAACCTGAGGGTCTGGTCTTTCTGTATGATGTTGGCTTCTGAGGTTTTTATCCCACACTTGAGAATAATTAAAAATGTCTTAACTGAATTAACTCGCTCTTAAAGCTACATGGACATTGGACAAATGAATTCTTTATCTACATTCATTTCTGTGAATGCAGCAATTATTTAAGGTATATTTAACCCAAATTAACAAGATCTACAGCTGATGTTGGATCGTTGCTGGTTGGATGTAACACAATGTTGGCTTCAGGAAAGAGAGACAGTCCTTATTTACATTCAACCCACTACAAATTAAAAAGATTGATGAAAACTGTATTGATTTTCCTTCACGTTTGACTATATTTGGTTCATGTTCCGCTCTGGTTTTGCAGAGTCTGTTTTACTCCTGAACTGACTGTGTGGCATCAGCAGGTTTGTGGCATGTCGTTTTATATACACAATGTGCAAATGCTCACTGCAGCCATCTGTGGCCACTGCAGAATAGCCTGTAGGGCTGTACTCCAACGCCACTTTTATTCACATGTCAACCAATATGAAGCGTGCAGATACAGGATCCCAGACATGCTTATTCACAGATTCCATTATTAAATTTAACGTATTATTATTTTACTAATGTCTAAAATTTCGTTTGAGCTCAGTGATGTTCACAAAAGTGTGTTGGGTTGACATCCATCTGCTGCAGGTCAAGTCAGGTCATGTCAATGCTATTAGTTCTGTTCACTTCACAAACAACATTCAGCATTGACTTTACCGAAGTGCCAGTTGTGTCAGATGGTAGGACATTGGCCGCGTCTGTGTCTTCTGCTGAGTTAGGAACAAAAGGCTACAGGCAATTCAGGTCTTTGTACAGCTGTGTATTGTGTAGTTCAGTGGTTCTCAAACGTCTTATACTCTGTTACCACCTGAAAAAACATTGATCTCTCTCTGAGTACCACCATGATGACCAACATTAGAATATAGCGCCAGTGACCTTCCCTGTTAGCTTCCACCACAGGAGAGAGGTTTATAAATGATTAGAAAGAAGTTTGTTTAAACCTTGTATTAATTGTGCATGGTATGTGTCAGATTTATTCAACTGAAAATGTAAATGTGAAAATATGAATTTTCCCCACGTACCACTAGAGAGCGCTCGCGTACCACTGGTGGTACGCGTACCACAGTTTGAGAACCACTGGTGTAGTTTATTTTGAAATGAGTGGTACGCGTACCACAGTTTGAGAAGCACTGGTGTAGTTTATTTTGATATTTCTTTTGTTTCCACAGAAGGATGTATACATATAGAAAATGAAAAAGGACCAACCAGTGGACCTTGAGGTTCACCTTTGTTTACTTCAGAAGATATTGCATAACTACAACATTAACCCTGTGTGTAGTAGCTTTAGTCCCACATGTCGGCCTCATAAGACACAGCTGTTTCTATGACAATATACTGTGAATGCTAGAGACTAAACGGGATTAACTCTATACTGTAGGTTTTTAATTTGATATTAATGTGTGTGTGTGTGTGTGTGGGGGGGGGGGTATAGTTTTTTTCAGTAGGTGTTTAATTACAGAGGTGGGCAATGAGCAGAGCCAGTAAGAAAAGAGTGATTAACTTGTTTTATGTGATGGGTTTTTTTTAATCAGAGGTGAGGTTTCCTTAAATAGCTTTGGTCGGATTTAGATTTGTCTGTTTGGAGGTTAACACTAATGACATCTGAGAGTGCCGTATAATGTGTGTGTGTGTGTGTGTTTTAGTGTGTGTTTATCTGAGTGATTAATGAACGTGGCTGGATGGCGTCAGCCGGCCATGACAGCACGACTGCAAGGAAATCACTTCTCCCCTCTCCTTGGACTGCTGATTCAGAGCTTGCAGGAATTTTGCTGATTGCTAAGACCCCCATCATGCGGAGGGGTGGAGGAGAGGTACTATATAATATATAATATATAATAAAGGTGAGTGGAGCTGCCATTAAAATGGAAATAGAAATGGCCATAAATGATGGCCTACTGGGGGATCAAAGGTTGTGTTATTTTTAGCGAATGTGAATAAAATAAGAAAATAAGAAAAGACTGGACACCAGAATCAGGCTTTCCAGAATTAGCTCTGTGGCTCAGTGCTCTGAAAGACATGAAAATGTCAGTATTAATGTCCATTTGCATAAGGAAAGGAGTGGTCAGCTGATCAAGAATAAGGAAATGTCAACAGATGGGGGAGAGGGTGAGGGGGCGGGGGGGGGTTGATTGATGTTCTTGGGGATTCTCTAGCACTTTCTGAGAGCGATGTGTCGTTGGAGTAGAGAAACGTGTATGAAGACAAACAGACTGATTGGACTGAGACGTCAGATTACAGAGGGACACACTGCCAGGCTGCCAGCCTTTAGTCAGTTGCCCTCTATTACCCAAAGTCTTGCAGGGCAATTCATCGGTCCGTTTATTTTAAGGCCATTTGCTGCAGGATTTCTCAGAGCGCCTCGTGACGTCGATCACAGAGTTCGACCTTTAGACTCAGATGTCAGGTGCTCCACTGGGGGAGCTGCGTGGCTAAAAAGTAGTTTTAGGGAAGTTTAAAAAAAAGTTTTTTTTTTAAATATGCTTTGAGCCACAACTTTAAGCAGAAGGAAAAGTCAAACCTGTCTTTCAAAAAACATGTTCTTGTGCAACTTAACTGTATTTCTGTAGCCCTCACCTATATACACCTGGGACTAGTATACATACATCAGCAATGTATAAATGTAGTCAAGTTTAATAAGCAGTTAATAATATAATAAAACTCATGTTTTCTTGTGTTTTTACAAATTTACATTTTTGTAATGAATATAAAGCTTTTACTTTACTTCTTTAAGTTAAGTCACTTCTTCCAGCAGTGTTTACATCACAGAATTTCTTCTTTGTAAAATCCTGAGTTTAATAAATATTATCAAGTTCTTTTTAAATGTTCAAATGTTTCAGTTTTGGGAATATAGGGGAAAAAAAGACCTGGAAAACCTTTATTTTGTGTTACTACTGTGCTCCATATCTAGGGGAAAAAAAGACCTGGAAAACCTTCTATATTTTGTGTTGCTACTGTGCTCCATATTCATCTATTTTTTTGCACGGCACACAGAAAAAAGAAAGGAAAAAAAAAGTGACTCTCTGGTCATTCCCTAAACCTGAGGGATTCTCCACATCTCCATTAATGTAACTGTTAATAGTACACTATATAATAATGTAATATTAATTAACCTAAAAACCAAGGGCACAGGATGCTTGGCGCTCTTACACCCCAGTGTCCATTTACTTTTTAATATCATTCTCCAAAGTCCACTTCCTCACGTGGTCTACAGGAAACTGTGGTGTTTTGGAAAATCCAACCTTTTCAGCCAATGGTCTGATGTTTTCAACATAACACAAGATGTTTGTGTTAAAAAATAAAGTTAGGATCATAAAGATATTTTTCTGAAATACTGACACAAAGACCAAATCTGAGATGAAAGACTGTGTTCAGTACAGCAGGAGACTTTGTTGATGATTATGTTGGTTTGGAAAAAGAGAACAAGTTTTAGTGATTTGACGGCATCTGAACCAGAGGCAGGTGCCGTCCTAATAGATTCACATTCACTAGTCAAAAAATGTAGTTCCTGTTTCTTCCCTCTGGTTAAACCGACTGTTTCGTCCAGGATTACAATTTCAATCATTGCTGCATTGCACCAAAATCTCTGGGGCTGTTTCATCCTTTCTGTGGAAGTGCCACGTTGAAATGACAGCACCCAGCTCAAGTGTTATCTTAACCCGCAGAGCAAAGGTGAGCAGAAACACCATACATCAACCTGCCACAGTCCTGCAGCACCAACTCAGTCCCAACTTTCTGCCTCCACAGACTGCAGATGCTAACACAAATACAGATGTTGAAGTTGAAGGGTTTGTTGCAGCTTCTCTCACACATTGTTTATTATATACAGTGATGGTAATTCCTAATTTTTAACACATGAAACCATTCAGCCCCAGCAGCCCTGCACACATGGTTCAGATGTGTGATGTTGTGCAGTTTGACTTGTGTAATTGCTTTGTCAAAAACAGTGTTGCTAAAGGGCTTCGGAGTGTAATGTCAAGGCCCACAGCTCACTGTGGTTGTTGTTTTGTCCTGGAGCAGACATTGACATGTTTTTTTGTCCTGGAGCAGACATTGACTGTGGTCGGTGGTGGCTGCAGTGTTGTAGACAGACAGATGAAGCCTGATGTGTTGACAGACTCTGCTGGGACACCACAGTAGTGTCAGGGTCCGGAGGAGCCGCAAGGAGACCCAGTCAGACAACCTGACGTCCGGTCCCAGGGCTAGACACCAGACCACACAGTTACAGAGGCCCAGACTGAACACATGGTTGTCCAATTCCTAAATTTCTAATTGAAAATGCATTGGCGCGCCTTGATTAGGGGTCTTAAACCTGTGGCTCCCAAGCCATATCTGGCTCTTTAGTGTCTTTGCAATGGTATTTGTAATTGTATTGAATGCTGTTTGTCTAAGAACCGAACATGGTCTACGTGTAGAAATTAGAATCTTGTATTTTTTTTCACTGGTATATAAGATGGAGACAATGTTGCCAACAGGTTTCTTTATATATTTATATTCTTTATATTTATTTATAAAGCTGTAGTATTACTATAGTACTGAAAATAATGGTCATACTCTGCAGTAGTGCCTGTCAGAATATTTATGCAGTTCTCAGTAAGTTTTATTTGCTGCTGAAATGATAAAAATGTCTCCTGAGTCCAAGGTTGCAGATCCCAGTCCTTGGTCCAAGATGGAATGTCTTATTGTCAAATTAGTCTTGTTGGGTTCCTTGGTTACTCTGGTTTATGCAGTTACAGCACAGCCTCCTTTCAAAGTATCCACAATCAGCCAGTGAATTTGCTTTGTGCCAGTCTTAACTTTGATGCCTCACACTTCATCAGTAGACTTCCGTTTGTGTCACCTCCTGTGGGCAGTGTTTCTCTTCTGGTGTTAAAATGTTCTTTTTTCTCTCGGTGTGCCAGGAATTCTCACTGTTAAATATTTCTGACGTGGAGCCTTGACGGAGTTTAATGTGTTCTTCTCTCTCTGTGCCCACAGGCTGATGGTCTGCTCTTCTAGGCTCTGACGGATCAACTGTTTAGAATTGCAGCAGTCCGGCGACTCCCGTCCAATGGAATCAGACATCATTACTTAATCATTAGTGTCGCAGCAGCTGAGTGGATTTTCAGCTCCTATAAACTGCTCTGAGTCTGAGGGGAACGGTTAACTCCAGCTTTTACCTGTCATCCTGACTGGAGTCAAACCTCAGTAGGGTTGAATTTAACAAAAAAAAAGAGTTTTTATTGCCAAACATCTCTGTGCCAAGATGGATGAAACTCACAACAGGACAACTTTGGTCAAAGGTGCCAAGGACATCGCTAAAGAAGCCAAGAGGCACGCCGCCAAAAACTTCAACAAAGCCGTGGATCGTGCCTCAGATGAATATTCCACTCAACGCAGCTACAACCGTTTCCAGAACGAGGGCGAAGAAGAGAACTACGATCATTACAACCAACAAGACGGCTTGTACGCTGACAACGCAGCCAGCGATGAAGAGGGGGCCTCCAGTGATGCAACAGAAGGCCACGATGACGAAGATGAGATCTACGAGGGGGAGTACCAAGGCGTCCCGGCCTACAGTGACGGGAAGCCCCAGGACGGACAGGTGGCTCTGGGCCAGCCGGTTTCTGACAGTCTCAAGGGCCGCAAAGAGCTGGAAAATGAGCGTCAGGCCGATGAAGAGGAGCTGGCCCAGCAGTATGAGCTGATCATGCAGGAGTGCGGTCACGGGAGATTCCAGTGGCAGCTGTTCTTCGTCCTCGGCCTGGCGCTCATGTCGGACGGTGTGGAAGTGTTCGTCGTGGGCTTCGTCCTGCCCAGTGCTGAGACGGACATGTGCGTCCCCAACTCTGGTGCAGGTTGGCTGGGTAAGGAGCAGCAGTTCAGTTCATTTACTAAAGTAGTCACTAGTGAACACCTTTACTGTGCAGGGACACGTGCTGTACCTGTTGTTGTTAGAACTCTGTGTTCACTGTTCTGATGGGAAATGTTCCCTCAAATTACCAGGAACATGATTTAGACACAGAGCAGTGGGGACGGTTCTGGCCTCCATTCTTCCTGTCTTGTGATGATCTGAGTGCAGCATTGATATTCACGCAGAATACTGTTGGTTGGAACCTGTGAATGGTGTTTCAGTATGAGAAGTATGTGATCAGACGTAGAAGAAAGTCGACAGATCTTCATCACCTCTGATGGCTGTGAATCTGGGAAAGATCAATATGTCATATTCATGTCTGATACAGATACTGCAAAACTGCAGTATTTGCAGACACCAATACAATATATTGTTTTCCTCCTCTCCTCTTGTTGATTTGTATCTACTCTCTGTAGTTTAACATAGACGTTAACAGCAGTTATTTCGCTCTTATAAAGGAAGAAAAAAATAAAATCATGACGCAGCTTTTAATTATGCAACACTGCTGCTGCTTTATATTTATAGTGTAGAGTTTTTAGAGCATTTGATTGGGCCAAACAGGGCTGAGCTGAACAATTAAAAAAAAAATCAAAATAAACTTAAAAGAAAAACTTTGCGCAAATAGTTTTATCTGAGTAGAATACCATATGAATAAAAAATGAAACCTCACACTGAATGGAGCCTGGAGTCAATGTAGACTCTAAGCAGAATAGTAAATATTACCTAAAATACATATACTGTAGTGTATACTGTATGTACTGTACAGTATACCTGCAGTAGAATACAGTACAACAACAGTACTTTGCAGTATTGAAGCCTTCAGCCTCTGCTGCTCCACTTCACTCAGCTAACATGATGCCTCAGCTAACAAGGCTAATCCATCATCAACACCAACTGCATTCAGTGCAAAGATTGCGACGTTGTAGTGACGAGTCTGAACATTTTACCCAGCATGCAGCTGATAGTCACCCTGAGGATCGGAACCGAACTTCTGCTGTGTGATTTAATTTGAGGTTCTGATTAATCGTCAAGTACAGTGGTATAATGCAGCGTCTGTACCAGTGTATCTAGTATCTACCTGTACTGTACAGCCTACAGCCTACAGGGCTGTGCATGGAGACCAGTGATGCAGGCGCGAGGAGCTCTTCTGGCTACAGTGTGTGTGTGTGTGTGTGTGTGTGTGTGTGTGTGTGTGTGTGTGTGCACCCTGGCTTCATTGTTTTGCTCGCTCTGTCTAAAATAAGTGCACGGTTCCTCCGCTGCACGCACAGTTAAACACCGCGCTCATGTTCACTTTAGCCGTCGATACGTTGAAAGATGAAATGATTTCTCTCTATTTCACTACCATATGGTTTAAACGCTAACTGTAGGAACAGGGTGGTAAATTATTCATGTCAATTTTACCAGTTTGTGAGTCATCACCTGGTGGGAGACGGCGGAAGAGAAAATAGAAGAATGAGTCATTTCACCAACTTTATCTCACACACACACTAACACACACACTAACACACACACTAACACACACACTAACACACACGTTCCCTGTAAAGTGAGGACACTCACAATCACATACAATTTGTTTCTCGGCTCCTTAAACTCCCGTGGTTCTTTAAGAATGGACACAGTCAGTGAAGAGACTCCTGTCAATCTGTGGTTACACTGAGGAGTGTTAACACTGATGGGCGTTTACTACTGCCAGATTAGACAGGAGTCCTTCAGTCTCTGACCCCGAGGTGATCAGCGTTAACACCTGAGTCATTCACATCATTTCTTCATTTAATCGTTCTTATTTTAATGATGATTCTATTCTATGGTTGTAGGGGACGCTGTCAGAGGCACAGGTCCAGAGGGTGAGGTCCAGAGGTCCAGAGTGTCCAGGGACACCTGGACCAGTTTGTGAGTCCATGTCAGGGCCACAACAACCATTCACACTTACATTCAGACCTGTGGTTCAGTGGAGGGCAGGGTGGGGGCGCTGGTCGTCGTCCCAGTTTTCCAGGCTGTAGCTGGTGTGGGTGTGGCATCAGTGCATCCTTAGAGGAAAGAGGGGAAATGTCTGCAAAACTGAATACATGAAATACTTAT